GTATAATAAGGCTTAAAACGTCATAGTATAGTAAGTCATAAAATTTTCAAAAAAGGTCATACTATAGTATGTTACAAAATTGTCAAAAAAAAGGTCAGAGTATAATAAGGCTTAAAACGTCATAGTATAGTATGGCATAAAATTGTCAAAAAACGTCATAGTATAGTAAGGCTTAAAATTTTCAAAAAACGTCATAGTACAATAAAGCTTAAAACGTCATAGTATAGTAAGGCATAAAATTTTCAAAAAACGTCATAGTATAGTAAGGCATAAAATTTTCAAAAAATGTCATGGTATAATAAGGCTTTAAACGTCACAGTATAGTAAGGCATAAAATTTTCAACAAAGGTCATACTATAGTATGTCATAAAATTGTCAAAAAACGTCATAGTATAATAATGCTTAAAACGTCATAGTATAGTATGGCATAAAATTGTCAAAAAACGTCATAGTATAGAAAGGCTTAAAACGTCATAGTATAGTAAGGCATAAAATTTTCAAAAAAGGTCATAGTATAGTATGGCATAAAATTGTCAAAAAACGTCATAGTATAGTAAGGCTTAAAATTTTCAAAAAACGTCATAGTATAGTAAGGCTTAAAATTGTCAAAAAACGTCATAGTATAGTAAGGCATAAAATTTTCAAAAAACGTCATAGTATAGCAAGGCATAAAATTTTCAAAAAAAATAATACTATAGTATGGCATAAAATTGTCGAAAAAGGTCAAAGTATAGTGAGGCTTAAAACGTCATAGTATAGTATGGCATAAAATTGTCAAAAAACGTCATAGTATTGTAAGGCTTAAAATTTTCAAAAAACGTCATAGTATATTATGGCATAAAATTGTCAAAAAACGTCATAGTATAGTAAGGCTTAAAACGTCATAGTATAGTAAGGCATAAAATGTCAGTATAGTAAGGCAAAAAACTTCATTGTAAAATAAGGCTTAAAAACGACATAGTATAGTAAGGCATTAATAGTCATAGTATAGTAAGGCGTTCAAAACATCAAATAATGTCATATTAGTGTAAGGCATAAAATTTTCAAAAACCTTCATAGTATAGTAAGGCATAAAATGTCATAGTATTGTAAGGCGTAAAAACATAAAAAAAACTTCATTGCACAGTAAGGCATAAAAATGTAAAAACATTTCATAGTATATTAAGGCATTAAATTGTCAAAAATGTCATAGTATAATAAGGCATGATAACATCAAAAAACATCATAGAAAGGTATAAGATGTCAACATAGGCAGAGGGAGAACATGCAATCTACACACTGAAGGCTTGCCCCAGATTGGGGTTTGAACTCATAATCTTCTGACTCTGAGGCAGCAGATCTGACCACTGCACCATGATGTTGCCCCCATGGCATAGTAAGGGATAAAAAGTCATAGTATAGTAAATCATTAAAAAAAAAGTCAGATAACATAATACTAGTTAGGCATTAAAATGTCAGAAAACGTCACAGTATAGTCAGGCATAAAACATCATAGTATAGTAAGGCATAAAAAAACATCAAAAAACATCATAGTATAATAAGGCATAAAACGTCAAGAATATAACTTCATTCCAAACATAGTGTGGACGAGTTTACTCGAATATTGGTAGGGACAATTCTGTCCTCACAAAATTTTGGTAGGTTCATGTCCCAACCGTCCATATGCAAACCCAAGCCCTTGAAATAAACATGACATGTAACGATCTCCAGCAGTATGCATAACTGCAACCTATACTCTAATCTACTTTATTGTTAGCAAGACCAAGAGTCTATAGCCACAACATTAGCATGGCCTGTTAAGTCTAGCAGTGCTTTGAGCTAAATGGTAACAACATGTTAAAATGATAATGTTTTACCAGAGTTGGTGGCTCTAACTCTGGGGACCATGAATACCTGAACAAAATTTCATGGCAACTACTTCTAAGACATTTCAGTGTATAAGTGCTTACATTATCTTCATGATAAGGCTTGAAGAAATAACACACAACACACTTAAAGTAGTCATTTTCATATATTTGTATATATTCATATATTACACATTTAATACAGGCACAATGAGAAATCAAAGTAAAGACAAAAAGTGGCTGAGATATTGGTAAAAATGTACAATTTATGAGAATCATTTACACAATTTTGCTCTTTTTAAACTCTGTTTAATAGAACATATAAAGACAGGAAGTGAAAGTGACCGAAAAAGGAGCCTTGAAAATTTTATTTTGGAAGTTATGTGGGAACAGCAAGAACCAGCTTGCTAATACTGAATATAATAACAGAATCTGTGTTGTCTTTTTTTTCCTTTTTTTTTTTTTTTCCTATTTTTAAAAGCATTTGGTTCATTTTACCAAAACCATTGATATAATTAATTAAGAGAAAACACAGAGTAACATGTTGATTTCTTGCTGTACAAATGTCTGGTGCTACAATTTCAGGATTTCATGTAAACTCATTCATTTCAGCTACCTTTCAGCATTTGGCTGATTAAAGTTCAGCGTCAAATGCAAAATTTAAGTTCGACAGACAGTAAGTGTCTGGCTCTAAATTGTTATTAAAGGATTGAGTCTTAAACCAGGTACTAGAAGAATCATACAAAAGATTAAAAACATTAAAAATTTGATGATTACATATAATTACCCTGGCCAGATATGATGACTGAAATCAAATGAATCATGGGTTTCCAACAGCTTTCAAGTGAGACAATAAAAGAATTAAATATGGATATGATTTTAAATCACCTGTAGCTACTAGAGCCCTGTTTAATAGCACTGAGGATAAAACATAAGCCTGATGTGAAAGGTTGTTTCCTTAAAGTCTTATTTCAGAGGTCAGTTGGCCACATGATGCACAGTGTATGAAACTCCTGCCCTTTTCAATCACAGCTTCCAGGCCACTTATTGCATCTCCAGACATCATCACATACCAACACATCAAGGATCATCGCAAGGATGAGGTCAATGAAAACATGTCCTGCACAACAGAAAATACTCCATCTGGAAGTACAACAGCCTGGACAGCAGCAGCCCTCATTTAGAAAAAGACAAGAATAAAGCACCAAGAGTGAAACCATTCATTATCTATATCTGCTTGTGCTGTTTATAGTTACAAAAGGCTGAAAAGTATCCCAGCATGCACTGGGTCAAAGGCAGGACAGGTTGCTTATCTATCACAGGGCATTGGCAATACTGTGTTACAATATCTAACCACAGTCAACAACACTGGATTACTCAGTGTAGAGTAGTTGTGATGAGGCATTTCAATCATTAATTTGGCCTTCTTGTGCTACTGTTCACTAACATCATCTACTGCACAGTGAGTGTATGAGAGGTTGAGGTCTATTGATGAGTATTGAATAGAAAAAGACAATAAAAAAAAAAAGAGTTCAATGATCAAACTCAACACAGAAGGCAAACATGACTAATTCGTTTCTGGAAGACAGTTGGCTTTAAAAAGAGGAGACTTTTTCCCTTCAATATCCAAATAAAGGTGTAAAAAAAAAAAAAAAAAAAAAAAGACAACTGGCACATTGTTGGTGCTATGCTCATTGACTGTGCTGTAGTATACAAAAAAAGTAGAGAAAAGTTAGATTCAGGCACATTTCTCCATTAGTAGGGCACAGAAGTATGATTAAAAAAACTGCCAGTTAAAAAAACAAAGGCTACAAGTTTTGGGGTAATGTCCCTTGATTTCTTTTTTTTTTTTTTTAAAGCATCTAACATTTGACACAACATTTTACAGTCAAGATTTCTGAGCTTTTTTTTTTAAATTTTTTTTTTTTATGAAGAATAAAAATTAAGGGCTTAAAATGTAAAAAAAAAAAAAAGACAAGCCATGACCAAATGGAGAATTTACAAGGGGAAAAAAGTTCAATTTTAAAAAGACCACACTGATCACAGACCCCATTTGGGGTGATTGTTAAAAAAAAAACTCCATGCATTATACCACAGAGACATGTAGCTTAAATCTGGAAACCCAAATCTGGATTTTTTTCAACATTGATGCACTTTTGTTGCCTATTGATCCACAGTATAAGATGAGGCACTGAGGTCAGATTTTTGCATTTGTTTGAAAGCACTTCAATGTTCTTTTAAAGATCAAGCTTGTGCCATAAGAGTGTGAGCGAGGATTCACACCGTTTAAGACAGATTCACCTTCATGGCTTCATTGCACATGATCAAAAACATAAAATTGTGAGAAGAAAAACTGATTTGAGAGCTGAGTCAGAGCTGGTCAAGAAGAATATTCAGTGTTATTATTTACAGTTCAGACGGAGAGAGAGAGAGAGAGAGAGAGGGAGGAACCTTCTCTTCTCTTCCACACAGATATGGGTTTGTTTGATATTCATTATTGGCTCTTGAAAAATGAGTATAAGAGGAAAAAGAGCGTCTGAAAGATTGTTAGTGCACTTTTTTTTTCTTTTTTTTATGATTTCAAATACAATATAGATTTATATCTAATCCATAAATTGTTTCTGACTATACAAAAGTGAATTGATCAGAAATCATTATTAGACTTCATATCTACACAGTTCCTGAAAGCTCATCTTAGTTTTCTTTTATTTATTTTTTTTAACAGTGTTCAATACTCAGTGCTGTTTTATTGTAGTGAGATTCTCGCCTCCTGGGGCAAAGCACAGCTGATGGATCCAGAGGTTCAGGAGGCGTTGCAGAGTTGACAAGTTTTGTGTTTTTCTTTCTTGAGAACCAGAGTGGTGGGTCACCTCAGCAATCTGCCATGTAACGTCCTGAAGGGAAGAACACAAAGGATGTAATTCCAGTTGTTGATGCATTAAATAAACCAGAGTCTGGTGTGTGTGGATGATGAAGCAGCCTACAAACCTGTGGCAAATCTTTTCTTGCTGAGAGAGAGTCTGTATCCAGCCCCCTGTAGCTCCATGTCCACTCCGGACAGGGTGCTTCCCTCACTCATAAACTGCACTGCCAGAGTAGAGGGGTTTGATGGACCGTTTGACAGCTCAAACTTGGCCCTCAGAGATCCGGCTCCTGGGGAGCAAACAAATACACTCAAATTCCACTGAGTGATGCAGCTCTCTTCCTCACCATCCACTATCAAAAAAAAAAAATCCTTACCTTCATTTTCCGACTTTTCTGAGATGTCACTCAGCTTCCACAAACACTTATTCTGCTCTGAATTCCTAAAGGAAGAGACAGAAATATCACCTTAAGCTCCATCTGTTTACCTCAGACAGAAATGTTCTTCAGGGCTTCACACTTCTGATACAACGAGCGCCAACATCTCACCATATGGAGTTGGGCAGAGACTGCATGTTGGTGACTCCTCCGTCGACGGGCACTAAGATCTGTACGTTGCTGAGCGGCCAAGGAGAGAACATGGAATCTGGGTTGTAGCGGTAGTCGACCCTCAGGTCTGTTGTGCTCGGTGTACACTTCCAGTACACGGCCAGGTTTAGAGGAGTGGAATGGATCCCGTCAGACAGCACCTGGACGCAGTAGAGTCAAATTGTCCAAATTTAAATATGAACAGCAATTAGAGCAATTACAGTGATTTTCTTAATATCCTCCCTCACAATGAGACTATGTAACCATGGCTAGAGTGTAACACAGCAGTCTTTGGTTTGCTGAAAACAAATGTTTCTCCAAAGCTTCCTGGAAAGCTGCTTGAACACCAGCTGTTGTCCAGGACAAACACTAATTCTTCTCCCATCGCAGAAAAATTTACGGATTTCTTTTTACACTTATATTTAATCTGTTCCTACATTTCTTGATCCACCTAATGTAAAATAAAACTCAATATTTATTTATCAAGAGAAAAGAAAAAAAAAAAGTCTGGCCTGATTATGGGGTGGCAGGACCAGGACGGCCTTTAGTGGTTTGTGAGGTTGTCTATGAAACTGGAGGGCCAAAGCTTGATGCTTGATGACAGCGTGGCCAAACCAGCTGAAGAATCCCTGACAAGATATTTAACCCCTGCCTCTTCTAGGGCTGCAGCATTTTCCACATATCAAAATCATCCATGAATTAGAAACATTAAAAACAGTTACAAATACCTCAAATCTCCAAGAGTTTGATGATTTGTTTCATACATCCAGTGAATACTGACTAAATAATGCAGAATCACTGCTCTTTCTTCTCTTGTCTCACTCTCAGTGGCATCAGCTAGTAATGACAGGTCCTGCTCAGCTCATGATGTGTGCAAGACGTTCAATATAGTATCACAGACAATTTGGACTCTCTACTTTACACTTCCACAGTAATATTTCTTATGCATTATTATATTAAAGATAAATATAATAAATAAATGATAAATAAACAAGCAAGTTTGAAGAAGCTTTTTTTGTTTGTTTGTCTTTTCCCAAGGCCTTTTTACATTGTGTGAGGCTACATGATTTTACATTTTTAACCCAGATTATCACAGTAAAACAAATGAATGTAATTCCAATCAGGTCCCAGAAAGACCACACCACAAAGTTAAAAGTATTGGATTATTACACAGACTAGAGCTGGAGGATCAAATAAACTTCTGACAGAACACAAACAGAACAATGAAAATACTGTGATATCTTTTCTCCTTAACTTTGGTGCATGGCCGTCAAGATAGTGAAGTACTCTAGAAATCATTCTTTAACTGCAGTTATTTTATCTGGATCATGTTCCGACCTGGTATTTCAGGATGTCCACGTTATAGTAGGAAGCTGAAGGATTCTGATCTGAGGCTTTTCTGAGGTAGGACGTCAGTGCTTGCATGTTGAACCAGAAGTCCTTGGAATTCGAGTCACTCTGGGAAGGATCACTAGATAAAAGACAAACAGTTAGAAAGAGAGACGCACGCACGCACGCATACAAGGAATAATAAGAGGCTCAATTATTCATTGCGCTTCTTGGCTTTGTGTGTAAAGCTCAAATAGCTTGGAAAAAATGACCGTGTTATATCCAACCAGCTACTAAATCATGAATTCCACTTGATTCAATTAGTCTAGCCATGTGGTCTATGGACAACCGTGAGGAACCAGAACGAGAAACATTTTTTAAAAATAGAAACAGATGTCATCTTTCTTTAATTTTTGTTAAAAGATGCAAATTTGTCACATAACGCTCGCAGTTTTAAAACGGGACCAGAAACTTTCACTGCATGTGAGGTAAAATATTCACTAAACACCTTCGACTGAGACAAAAGAGGTGAGAGATACAATGAAGTGTGTTAAATGAAGCAGCTGTTATATAAAGTTTGCTGTTCTTTGCTATTTTAGGGCGAAGTATTTCAGAAAAGACATGGGCTGTTGAGAACCTGGCTGTTAAAGTCTGGTGGAAAATACTTCCCTGACAACTTAATGATGGGTTTATGTCAGATTACTAATTGAATTTCCTCTCACTGACGCAGACTACATTTCCTCCATCCTTGCTCGTATCATCCCGTCCAAATCCCTCTTTGACTCAACCACAAGTTATCAGCTCTGCGAAGGTCTTCAGTTGTGGACACGCCTGTTTGTGTTTTAGCTGCTTCACTGATCATGTTTTCCTGGACACCTCACCTGTATAAAAGCTGTTGGTTGGGTAGGATCTGCTCCAACCTGCTGGTGTTCTTCAGTTTGAAGGTGAGGACGGCCGGGGAAGGGTTGGTGGTGAACACCTTGATGATGCCCATGGGGAACGACAGAGTCATGTCTCCTGTGATCTTCACAATGCACCTGTGGAGCGCAGCCACATGAATATGAATTATGTGTTGAGGGGGGTCTCCAACTAATGATCCTGTCCATCATGACAATTTTTAACAAATGTCCCATTAGTTTATAAAATGTCACAAACATAAAATTCTAATTGCTTTTTCTGTCTGAGTAACAGCCCCATAAACTCACAGATGTTCAATTTTATTCGATTAGTAATTATATGAAATAGAGGAAAGCATTAAATCCTCACATCTGAAACGGAAACCAGAGAATGTTTGGCATTTTTTTATTAAGAAATGACTTAAACAATTAATCTGTTATCAAAATTACTGTTAATTTTCTTTTGCTACACTTTTCTTTTCATCACTAAAACTGAGTACAAAGCCACATTTGACATAGTTGATCTTCTTACGTACCGTACTTTAGCTCACTGATCCGCTCTTTATGTAAAGTTTTAACCTAGGCCGATTTAAAGTAGATATCCAACCTGTTTTAGACTTCTGCTTCAATCTAAACACTTTGGCTTTAAGTTCTAGGTGTAACACATCTACGCGTTTGTAAGTCTTAATATATATCTCTATGGTTCTACAGTCTAATATTGATCCAGTTTCTAAACGAGAAGAGTCTTCCTTCATTCGGGGTGCAGTCGAGTGCTGTGGTGGTTTACGGCCCACAGCGGGTCTCAACCTCGCACCGTGTCTCTACTGCATTGCTTATGAAATGTTCCATTTGCTAATCCCTGCAAAAATAAGCTTTTTTTTTTGCACAGCGGCAATTTAACAGCAGTTAACTAATAAAAGGCTGTATATTTTCTCTGCCCCAGACTATAATCTGCTCCATGTAGGTTATCCACTCTGAAAGAATGGTGTCAGACTAACGCAAAACATTCCACACATGCAAAGCGAGAGGGAGATACACTCTGCAAAATACGCAACCTGGGTCTAGTGTACGTTGGCCGGGGACCATGAAGTACAACACCATGTAGTGTATAACTTATAGCGTCATATGTGTTATTGTTTGAGTTCAAATATGGACAAAAATGTGTATGCGTGCAGCTCCATGTCGGGGGCCTTTGAGCAGCAGGAGGTCATGTGAGACTCACTTAGTGGGATCAGCTCCTTTGAAGTAAGCATTAACCGACTCTGTGAAGGCCACAGCAATGGGCAAAGCATCCTGGGATGCCAGGGTCACAGGGCTGGGACCGCGAGACGTCCCTGAGAATGAGAAAGGCACAAAGATTCAGGTCTGTTGACTCAGCTGCAGATCAGACTCTCATAACACTGGGCTCCAAAGCTCACATCAGAATTAGGCGGGTTTGATCATGCAAAGATGCATTATATAATTAAGACTATTTCATGAGGTCAGTCATTCATACATTGCAAATCAGTACATTCTGTTACTTTTCAAATAAACAGAAATAAGATACAGTTTTAGAGCGCTTCGTGCTACAGCTGCTTTAGTTATAATTAAGTACAATTACACAGAATGACCTCAGACAGCATTAAAACTAAAGTTAACAAAAGACGTAGCAGTCATATCATTCATTACTTCAGTATTGTAACAAATAAACTGTTAGAAGTTGATGCTTCTGATCGAAAGAAAAATGTGAAGAGGTGACAGTGAAGAGCACACAAGACAGAGAAATGCAGTCACTGCAAAGCAAAAAACAATCCAGTTGACCATCCAGCTCATTCAACTTGCTGCTGTTAGTTTCAGTTAAATACAGAGGAGAGTCCTCTTGTATGAACTTCAACCATACCTGCTGGTGTTTCACACCGCTTCTCAAAGGTAGGCAGCTTCGCTATGAACACATCATCCTCTTTACGCCAAATTAAAAGGCATAAAAGAGGAAAGGAGGAGATAAACAAACCCAGAGAGCACAAATGTGAGGAGAGATGATGCTGAGCACAGTTGTAAGCTGTTTCCTAAAACGTGTGATGGTGGCAGGTGAGACCTAAGCTGACGAGGCTGATACGACTGCACAGAGATGAACAAAGAGCTAACAGACCCTGATGATGACTTTCTTAAGCATCAGTGAAATGTATGCACAGTAGAGATGATGACTGTAAGCACCGCAGCAAAGGAGCGTCTCTAAAGGGAGACGAGAGGTTGGAGAAGGCAGACTCACTTTGGCTTAGGAGAAAGAAAGGAGAGAGGGAGAGCAGCTCTGGCTCTGGGGAGGAGAGGGGGTGAGCAAAGGTGAGCTCAGCTCCTGCAAGGAGAGGAGTGAAGCAAGGAAGGAGAGAGGAGTGAGGGAAGAGGGGACAAGGAGAAAACAGCACATTGTGGTGCAGAGACAATGACATGTGGCACATTGGTGAGGAGCTGAAGAATAAGGAGTCCAAGAATAAAGAGATTCTCTGCACACAGAGGAGGCTGAGGAAGCTTACCGACGGTGGGGGTGTTGCCAGCGCTGAGTGAGGCGTTCGATGACAAGGAGGAGGAGCTCTCTGCCCGGGCGAGTGGTGCACTGGGAGGAGGACTGGCGTTGGATGTTTTGGGTGGGCTGAACGGCCGCACCTGAGTGAAGGGAGTAGATCAAACAGGATGGTATTTTTAAGTCAGAGTAGATTTTAAAAGCAAATGTTGAGTTGCACTTATAGAGAGGTTGCAATTACTCACAATCTCATTGATTCCTGTGAGTTTTCCAGTGGGGAGTTTGGGCCTGGAGGAGGGTCGTGGTGGGGGCACCAGGGCTCCAGCTGTCAGCGGGGTCGTAGGTCGGTTCGGTACCGGCACTACACAAGCAAACACATGTAAGTTTTACTGGTTAGCGACAATTTAACATTGTGAACAGGAATCAGTACAAGCAAACATGTACGTACACAACTAGGCTTCACTGCAAAACCATCATGCATCAAGAGCTTTAATATGTAAACCATGACAGCAAAACATCAGACAGAAGACAGAAAAATCATAACAGGAAACAAGAAAAACACATTCCAAATTAAATTTCACAAAAAGAAACTCAAAGAGAAACATGTTGCAAACCAGGCAGTGAGTCAGATAAACAAGTCTGCAAAATAAAATAATGAAAAAACTAAATAAAAACACACACAAATAAGTAATCGCCAACTCCAAATATGAAACTAATGCACAAAAATAACAAGATAACTCAAAATACACAAATCAAACTCCAAACCTCAGGCATAAAACACGTCTCTGACGTCAGTGATCATGTTACCATTGAATACTTTGCTTGATGGAGCTGCAGCCATCGCCCTATCTGTAATTCCAGCGAAGACATCAGGGAGACCGGAGCTGCCGTCCTCTCTGCTGCCCGGTGCTTTGCAGTAGGTGTCAGCAGAGTCATCAGAGAGGAAGCGGCTTGACCTGCAGGGGCCGGACTGCAGCCTCTGGAGCTCCTTCACACTCGGCCCTGAGCCCTGACGGCGAGCTGGAGCAAAATTATCACTGAAAGCGATCCACTGGCTCTGGGACCAGGACACAGAGGAGAAGGAGTCGACGCTCTTTGGAGGGCTGCCGGCGACCGGGCTTTTGATGGGGTCGACTGGCTCAGTCGGCAGGGTGATGGGGGCGCTCTGGGCCCGCGCCGGTACGGGCTTGAGTGCTTGGAAAGCGTTTTCTGGCGAGTCCCAGGGGGAGGATGTGGACGAAGAGAAAGAGGAGGCATCTTTGGATGGTTGGCTCTCTGCCAAGGGAGGAGTGCGCTCCCTTTGTGTCACCGGCTCAGCTGAAGGAGGTGATGTGATTGACAGAGGCAATAAACATCACAAATACGAAGTATAGACAGTAACCCCTGAGACATTCAGTCACATATCTATAGTTCCAGTGAAATCAGAAAGCATCCAGTCAGCAGCAACTTATCATCTCAGACTGTCTCAATATACATAGAAAGCCAATTCAAAAAGAACGAGTCAATATGTGAACGACTTCATTCACAGTTTACAAAATAAAAACCAACACTAAAATACTAGACTCATACTATTGGTGTTTTTTTTAAACATTAAAATTAAAAGTACGTATTAATTATTAGAATTTGGGGTTTAATGACTACAAACACAATTATAATCAGCTATGGACCAACATATCTAAATCTAAATAAATTTATCTGTAAACTAACACTACGGCATCAGCAGTCACAGTGTTTGGAACCAGACGGATGAACCAGCATGACATTACTGAGTGTCAGATCACTGGGTAATGTTCAGAACTGATCTGTATTGGGTGACATATAAATAGTGCACCTGCTTTTACACGCTGAACCCTGTATCATATACGGAGGGAGCTGAATGAGGCTCTTTAGATTTATGATGACTTAGCCTGATGTCTCCTTAAGACACCGTTTCCTCGTTAGTGCAGGAGCTAAAATGATAAACTAACTTATCTTACTTAGTGTCTAATCCACCAATGCAAACACTGGTACAAAGGCAGGTCGTATAAGGTTTCATGCCTTCCATGATTTACATTATCTTTTCACATTTAAGCTGTTGCACAACAATTTCTTATCAGAAGCAGCATCTACAACATACAAGCCCCTTGGGATAACATTTAATTGTGCAATTAAAATTTTATACAGGAATTAAATATATCAAGTTTTGATCATTTCATTAAATTTGCTGTTATTAAACTCCTTCATAAATCAATTTTTATTTTAGAGGCCCATCTATGGAAGAGCACTGCAAACTATCTTGGACTATAAATGCTGTGGCATGTGGTATTGGTTCATGCTAGATAATAAAGTTAAAAAAAAAAAAAAAGCCAATTTATGCTATTATACACAACATATTGTACATGTCCATCATATTGATTTTGGTTTGTTTCAGCTTGTGGCCTCTCTGCTGATGCTGTCATGACTTTTCAGGCTGTTCTTGACAGATCAAACAATTCTTAATCGATTCTACAGTTTTGTCTCACATCGATGCAGCAGCAGTTTGAACTCGATGATCTTTCCTGTGTTGGATCTCTTTTCGTTTTCTCATGCTGCATTGCTGATTGCCAGACTTTTTATAGCTGACAAAATCTGCTGACTGGCTTTCAACCAAATATGAACCACCAGTGTCGCTGTCTGTAATTGTACTGAGTTATAATGGTGTTTTTGTCCTCGTTACTCTGTGTAACAATAGTTTTAGTGTCATGTCCTTACCGGATATCATGCATATTGTGCAACCATAATGTATCCTCTTATCAACGACATACAAATCCTGATTTTAGACATGCAGAAGGACATGTCCTGAAAATGTAAGTATGTTCACACGCATTTAAAATAAAGAATTCTCTAAGGTTTACATAAAGGCAAACAAAAATTCATAAACATAAACACGATGCTAAACAGTAGCTGATGAATGCTTCAAGTTCTTTTCATTTAAATCACTGTGTGATGAAAGGGGCACACACATTTTACCTGATGCCTCTGGCAGAAAGACGTCTGAGTCATTCATCAGAAAAGATGGAGATGGAGGGATTGAAAGGAAAACAGAGGCAAGGTCTAACGAGAGAAGTTAAAACAAACACATCAAACCAAGAAAACATCGAGTGATTCCAATTCAGACAATGACGTTGTAATAAAACAAAGTGAAATAAAATTAAAAAAACATGTAAAACCGAATGAAAATGTACCAAAAATAAATAAATAAATAAAAATCAGTGAACCCAAAATAAATAAATAAATACAATAAATACAATAAATGCCAAAATCCATACATTGTTTCAGTCTCTGTTTCATTCAGTCAGAGTTTAATCTTTCTAATACCTCACAGACTCGACTTGTTTCATGTGTCATGTGTGCATTTGGAGCTGGTAACACTGCCACACTGTACACAGGGAGATTTAACAGGCTGTGCGCGGGGACTTAATTCCCATCACCGTATCTTAATCAGGGCACTTTTCGATGCTCTTTTGACTTTTAAGTCACGACCTTTGACAGTAACAAGACACTGTTTGACAACATACGTGCCAGAGGGCTTTATAGCCAACCCTCTGACCTCTACTAGGTGCCAATTAACTGTGGATTACGCTTAGCCTAGGCAATGGGTCACTGCTAATGTCACTCTGTTTAAACACTGGTGTCATGCACGTAAAGCCGTGAGAATCACACTTGTTGTGCAACAAAAACCTCAAAAGTCAAATGCCTCTTAGAGTAGTGCGACTATAGACACTTCAGGAAGATGTTTAAGGAAAAAGAAAAGCTGAGCTACTTGAAACAAACTGGGGGGAAAAAAAAAACCTACAAACTGGGATAGGAAAAGGCTGCTGTTTTAATTCCCTAAAGTCCAATATTGTGTTGACTTCAGGGGTCAGTTCCTCCATCTGGGACTGCCCTGAGAGGAAAGGCTTCCAACTGAGAAGCTTGGAAAAAGAAAGACAGGGGAAGGGAGACTATATACTGCATAGAGAGATGGTGAGATCAAAGAAGTGAAAGGGTGAAAATGACTGCATCACCGGCTCAACTGAGTGAATGAGTTAAAATCAGCATGCTCGTTCTTTAAAGTCACAATCCTTCGGACCTTTGTTTTTCCTCTTGGTGTATTTACACTCCATACGTCCCTCTCTGAAGAGTACAGTAGTTTTTATTGGTAGCAGTGAAGTCCAGCCTTCAGACTGCCTACCTAAGCACAAAGGACTGACTGAAAACGATGGATGATGTAATCAAACGCAATTTTATCTCATTGGTAACAGCCTCACTGTTCACTCTTCACTCTCCTTACACCACATCAGAGCTGTTTTCACTTACTGCCAATGCAAAACCAACACTTCCCGCTGCTGCTGCTTCATATTAAAAGTGTTCAACTGGCTGAACGTTGAAGCGGTGTAGTTCATCACCAACTATGGAGATTCACCAAAAATGCATTTTGTTGGGGCACATTTCTAACAGAAGATCATCTTTTACTTTTGCAGGTGACACGCTGTGCAACTACAACTCCTCAGCAAAGTAACTAACTTGATTGTAGCATGAAATCAGATTCAACTGAAGTTATTTCTGACTGAAGTCTTACGGACTACAATTTTAAAGGAATTCAAGTGACCACTTGTTGGTGAATACAAAATTTCTTGACAACACAAAGTAAAGATAAAGGTAAAATCTGAAATAGTGGAGAGAGGTATGCACACAGAAATCCAGATAAAACATATTGATGTTACCTGTTGATGATGACACAGAGGAGGAGGAGCCTGCTGCGAGGGTCGGGCTGAACGGGTCCAGAGACAGAAGGTCGTTGTTAAGTCTGATAGGGGAGAGAGTGAGTCGAGTCAAACTTTCTTACACTTTCAAGCAAATAACTGCACGATTTTCCTCTCACAGACTATTTAAAGCGCATAGATGCAGTAAACATTAAAAAAAATCCTTTGAACATTGAACAGACACGAGTTATAAATAAAGTTTTCACGTTTTACTCTAATACTCACTCGTACGATGTTGGCACTCTGGGTTTTGCCAGTTCATCACCTGCAGCGAGAGAAAAACAAACACAAACTGAGACCCAGAGACCTGCACTGGGCGATGACAGCAAATACACTTTCACAGCAAGTAAAAAATAAAATAAAAACCCGACACGAGAGGTTTTCACCATCAAGTATTCAAAGACATTTGCCAAAAGTACATCACACCTTAAACCAGAAATATAAACTGAGGTTTTGATGGAACAAGTGAGAACCACCATCTGCCATGAAAAATCATAGAAATGTATTTGCAGTAAGATTTAGGTTTAGATACAATATATTTCTTATTTCTGCCTCTAAAACCTTACTGCAAAAACGGTTAACTCAACCAGCTAATGTGTTTTTAATGCGGTGGTAACACTTTACAACAGGGGAAGAGGTGATTTAGCAGCTGAAAAATAAAATCAGGCATTGCTTTGTTATTTTTGTGCCCCTGTCTAAAGTGTTACAATAAATTGCTGAGATTCATATAAGCAGAAACTTAAGCACCAGAGGTAAGAGGATGCAGCTGAGAGGACCCAAATTTACAACCATACATGTAAGTAAATCCTTCAAAATAGGATGCTGAACGTTTGCAGTGAGAGAAAACACAGTGTCAGTGGTGTTAGCTGGTGTCAGCTGGCTGCAGCAGCTGTGTGAAAGGCTCCTATGAGGGGACAGAGATGAGAGCTGTGGCAGATACTTTGAGGGGAGGGGGGGGGGGGGGGGGGGGGCAGGGTTGAAGGGTAACTACTGTAGTGAAAACATACTCACCAGGACCCTTAAAGCCTTAGAGCTTAATGTGGATACTCCTGTGATCCCTGAGCGTACGTAGAGTATACATCTATCAATGCCATTACCTTGTGTAAATGGATCTCAACTCAAGAATGTGAAAACAAGTACCATTTAGCATCATGTCAGTGCTGAATGTGAAGGTTTTGAAAACTTTTAGCCCATAAAAAAGAGACCCTCTGGATTTAAAGTGTGTGTTTTTTTTCACATGTGCATTAAGACCTCCTGGAGCATGATAGATGACTGTCAACACAGTCAACACACACTAAACTGTGCCAGTTTGCAGAAGGGAAAAGATAATTTCTGACATGTCAAAATACAAACAGCTAATTAAGCAATTAATCGTATTTGTACCACAGAAGGGAAATATCCCTCAAGCTTACATTGACAGAAAAGAACAGTTATTTACTTTTTCCTGGGATATGTTGGTTTTGGCCAGGTTTCTGGATTTTCCTTTTTTAAAGACAACCTCTTTACAAACATCCCAGGCCAAGAAAAACGTAGCTGAGAAGCTGTACAGTCAAACCCCCCCCCCCCTTTTGCAGTCATCCAGCAACACACAGATACAGAGAGGTCAGACAGAGAAAATACTCACTGGACTGGTTCCTTCGCATCTGTCCCTGAAAACAAAAACAGACATTAATTAATCAAAGACGCATGCGGCCGAAACTTTGCCCAATTTGTTAGAAAAAATAAAAAAATCCAAAACAAGACTAAAAAGACTGACACGACAGAAATGTTCATTCCCAACACAGGACACATAAAACTGACCGACACGCTTTTTAAAGAGAGAAACCAAGTATTTTAAGGGTCATTATGTGCAGCTTTTGGAAGCACAGTCCTTTTTATATGTCCAACAAGTTAAAACTTTAAGCCTTAACAAGTGTTTATGTAACAATATTTAAGATTTAAAACATATAAAACAATGAAAATAGGGTAAAAAAAAAAAAATAGCTTTAAGGGGTTGAAAACTATATTATTAATTATTCCCAGTGGCAGAGGGAATTTTCCACTTCAGAGTTAAAGACAGTAAATCACAGGACTACTCTCGACTTACACATACCAGACGTTAAATGTAGGGTGAAAAAATTCAGCAGCGCAAAACCGTGCATCTAAGCCCGTACAACGATCAGTCAGGGACAACAGAGCACGTGCCCCCAACACTTCACCAACTTCCTTCACAGGGACTTTTCTTTTTTTTTTTTTTTTTTGTGGGACATAAATCTGCCATGTCATGCTGTGTAACATAAAATATGCAAGATACGCTCTTGAGGGCCACCAACCCAATGGAAACTCGGAGCATCAATTTCAATAAAGAACTTATTCGTACGAGGAGAATGGTTGGGGGGGGGGGCTGTCGAGGGAGGAGGGGAGAAAAAGAAACAAAATGGGTTTAAGGAACATAGCAAAAGCGTTTAACCACCGTAGAGCTGTGAGGCCAGGGTTTAGTCCCACAGGCGCTAAGCGGCAAATGGGTTCAATTACGGCTCTTGCTGGCCACACACACACACGACTTCCATTGCTATTTCAATAAAGGGAACACCGTGGAGGGCGAACCAAACAGGAGAAGAAATGAAAAAGACAGAAAAATGAGCACTGAGAGAAAAAAAGAAAAAAGAAAAAGAAAATCTCTCAGTAATTCACACCAGATGATGCAAGGTTCGTCATCACCTTTAACTTTAATCCAGAACTTTCTGTGAATATGAAGCGGTGGAAGGATATGAAAAATCAGTCTGAACAGATAGAGCGGATGGCAAAGTAATGTAATGACTGTTCTGGTATTTAAATGCAAATCAGTCACACACACAAACAGTGTTTTTTTTCGTACTTTTAGGATGTGAAAGTAATTGTGGGTTTGAGTCTCAACAACAACTGAACCCAAATTGCAGTGAACAGAGTCAAAGGTTTAAAAGAGAACATCTTTCCTCCTGAATCTTGTTACATTAAATAGAAAAAAAACACATCCTCTATAAACTTGTAACTTATCTTTATCATTAATTCCTAGGGCGGAAAAAAAAGAAAACATTTGTAAAAAACTAGGCAACTAACCCCATAAAGTATTCATAAATAACCACAACAGAGTTCTGTCTAGAACAAGTGGGCTCCAATAAAACCCAAAGAGTGAAAGCAAACAAAGAAACGAGGAAAAAGAAAAAAAAAAGAAAAAAGAGTGAGGTACAATGCAAACAGTGAGGAGGAAGAGTGGTGAAAGCAGGGGAAGGGAGAGGCTGAGGGGGAGAGGGAGAGGGAGAGAGAGAGAGAGAGAGAGAGAAAGAGAGAGAGAGCCAAAGCCGGGAAGAAGATGCCGTGACATTTGTTTAATGTGCAGCCGGGGAGTGCAGCGGGTGAAACCCACTAGACCCCATTCGCGACAGTGAGCGTGCCCTCTCAGCCGCTCCACAACACCATTAACAACAACAACAGCTCAGTGCACACACACACGGTGCATGTTTGCACACAAGCAGTAGTGGTTTTAAATTTTAATGGCAGTGGCTATTTTCATAGAGCAGCGGAGAGTGATTCAGAGATTGAGTGATGGTGAGGGACAAGGAGCTGAATGAAGGGCTCCATGTCTGAGGTCACGGATCAGCGTGTGTGTGTGTGTGTGTGTGTGTGTGTGTGTGTGTGTAGCCTGCAGACCACTGCCGCAAAACATTCCCTGTGAGTGCACAGTGTATGACTCTGCAGTAAAGGCCAACAACATCAGATACTTAACTCAAAAATTATTGTTTCTGAGTTCTTGATATTTTTTCTTTAAAAAAAAAAAAAAGAAAAGAAAAGCGTGATCCCAAGGTTGTTCAACATGAAACTGAATTCCAAGTAAAAACAAGACATGAACTGTGAGCAAACAGGAACCTTACTGAATCAGAAGCCAATCTGGCATAGGAAATAAATTGGACATAACACATATGACTTTCCAATGTAAATAAAATAAGCTTCTAGAAAGAGTGACTAATGGCAGACATCTACAGGAGGGATGGTGCGGCCGGTTAAATGGCGTTCCCATCATCCCTAACAGAGGTTAGACATTCTCCTGTTGCCCTCTAGTGTTGCACAGGCAGAGCAGACTTCTGGTGTAGCAGAGCTGGACATCAACAGGTTTGTGTTTGGGAGTTTTAGTGTTTGGTATGTTTTTAGTCTGTCATGAAGCCATACCGAGGTCGAGGGCGACAGGATGATGTTTCCAATGGAGGCTTTGAGCTCGTCAATGGTGGCTCTGTTCTGGTGCGTGCCGTTGTTTGGCTGAACGGGCTTGATTTCTACATGGAACTTCCTGGGTTCATCTTCATCCTCTGAGTCGCTGGACGAATAGAAGGAATTCTCTTTGGCATGTGAGCAAAAAACAAAAAAAGTCAAGGAGACAACAACTACAGAGCAGAAAAAGAGAGAGAGCGAGAGAGAGAGAGAGAGAGATCATCCACAAGTCCGGTTTTGTTTAGTCTTGGCCTCAGAGTGCAGACGGGTGTGAGCAGAAAAACAAATGGCAATAAAATCTTTGATGTCGTCCAAGCTGGACTGAGCCTGAGAGTGAGAACAGCATCAGGACGAATGGAAAGGATATCGTTTTCATTTACTTCTGGTCTGATACAGAAACCCTCCGCATCGACCTGGGGGACATTCTACAAAAACACAAGCAGAACAAAGTTATGTTTAAAATAAATGTAATGTATGTGTATGCTTTATGATCAAATTTTAAAGCAGGGAAATCTTTATATTTAAAAAGAAATGTATCAGCACTGTGCTACAATAGTTTTTTCTTTTAAAATTATATTTGAATTGACATTTTCAATCAAATATTAGACAAGAAATAATTTCAACCTGCTAAAATACATGTAATATCATACAATTCAAAATAGGACAAACTATTACCTGTTGACTTTTACCTGTAGTTGGTTTCAACCATGTTTGTCTCTCTTCTGTCTCATGCTAAATTTGAAAAAGTCAAACTTTATAACTTTATTAAATGTATTATTATTTTAGTGTAGATCTTGTCATTTAATCAGTGCATATAATTTATAGCATGCTGTATATAAAGTATCTATAATTATATTACAAACAAAATGGTACACAGTGGAAATATTAGACATAGAATCACTTAATTCCAGTATCTACACTCTATTCACACATAAAGTTTGGCTAATACTCATCTGAACTAATGTCATCATGTTCAACAACAGCTTAGAACTTGAATTTTCAAATTAAATATTTATATATGTTACTTTAGATACAGATATATACATGAATAATAATACAAGAGGGGGTAAAAAGTTTTTTTGTTGAAATTCAGTGTTGATAAAGATTTAAAAAAATATAGCTCTGATTATTAAAAAAAATATTTTCAATATCTGTTTTTATGAAATATATTTATCTATTTTGATTTACAATGAAAAAAAGTGTGAATATGAATATTTACTTTGTGTGTATGTGTGTGTCTGTGTGTGTTAGCTTGCTTACAGCATTCTGGATGTCTATGGCCCCATAGTATCCGGGGGGAGCGCCATTGGCAGTGTTCTACAAGCACAAACACAGAGAGAAGAATGAACGAATGAGCAAATGTACTAAACAAACAACAGACAGACAGAGAGAGAGAGAGAGAGAGAGAGAGAGAGAGAGAGAGAGAGAGTCACATTTTTTTCACATAGTAAAACACAAAACTGAAGAGAACAAGGATCTTTTCTACCTCCTGCTGTTTGAAGTCAAAATAACATACAAAGCTGAATTAATATAAACACACAAGTATCAATTGAATTAATAAATTCATTAACTAGTTTTGGTGGATACTCACAGCAGCTTCAACTTCTGTAGATTCCCTGGAAGACAAAATGGTCACATAATGATAAGTAATTGTGTTTTTTTTCTCTGAAGCAGGGAAAGGAAAAAAAAAGCTGCATAAACTGTGATGGTGGACAGAAGATGAAAAAGTCTTCACTCACGTCGAGTCTGTGTCCTTGTCTTTCCTACGACCTGGGATGCCGAACGGTTTTCGCTTTCTGGGTTTAGCACCTTAAAACAAAAACAAAATTTTTTTAATTGAGTATAGAAAAAAAAAACTTGGATTACACATTTAAGGCTTAATTTAGGCTTAATTTAGTGTAAATGTGAAACTTCTCTTGTGTGTCTTTAATTTTGTAACAAGACTCACCTTCAGTAGCAATAGCTGTATTGCACTCCTCAAACTCAATGGGTCCTAATGAGACAAAAAAAATCATTTAGGTTCATTTAGCACGGAAAGGGTCAACGACCTCCTGCTGTGAATGCTGTGAATGTACAGCACGCAATAATCACACACACACACACACACACACACACACACACACACACACACACACACACACACACACACACACACAGCTCTAGCACACACTTTGGCAAACACACAACATGCAGTCTGGCGTGCCATACAGAGAGTGTATATGAACAAGGGCTGGGCCGGTCCCAGAGGGCAGACAGGGTCAATGGCGGAGTCAACTGTGTGTCTGGTGGCACTCATAGAGTTGTGACACTCCCTCTTGGGGACGCAAAGCGCTACTCTGTGAGCACAGACGCCTTTCCTCGCAGAATCACACACACAAAAACTCCACCTGGGACACACGAATCACCACAATCTCTGAGCCAATTCTAAATCAGCGCAGGAGCCTCACAACAAACAGCAGGTATGAACTGAGCTGAAACTAAACCTGCCCACGCGGGACACGCAAAGTCACTAACCCTATTACAATAAGACAAACAAGTCCAAGATTAAACGCAGTGAAGTGTTTAAAGCCACATGGACAAATCTGCTCTCAGGCTTAAGAGATGCCCTTTCCTCCCTCTCTCTGACATGCAAAGAAGAAAGAGCCAAAAAACAAACAATCCTGCACACACAGACACTCGTATCCTGCTGAAAGAACGTGGATCAACACACTGAACCAACAGATCGTCACATCTACTCCAGCTAATCACCATGATATCAAAAAATAACATTGCTTTTGGTTATTTGGATCCGTCGTTCATATGATGAGAACAGTGAAAAACAACAACGTTCACACTTAATTTAATGTTCATCAATTATACACATTCACCTCCGAGGCCCTGCAGTCGGATTGTCACGCTTCAAGTGTGCCCCCACCCACCCACCCCCCGGAAACATTTATAGAGGCTTTTCAAAGGGGCGGCGCTTTAACATACACATGCTCACACAAACACACACACACACACAAACACAAACACACACTAAAGAGCTGTAAGAAAACCAGTGGCAAGACATGCGATGTGTGTACGTGTCAATTAGTGTCAGTATGTGTGTGTTTGTGTATGACGTAATTGACTATTAGAAACTCCAGAGCTATATAATTAAGCAAAGTGAATCATTAATTAATTTAATTATAAATGTAAACACACACACACAAACTACAGTATGTTTTATTTCTACGCTCCAGTATTAACGTTGCAGTTACACGGCTGTGTGACAAAATCTGGCAGCTCAACAGGAGACAACACATCTTGCTGAGATGCAGTTTTTTAAATGATTTTTCTTAACATGTATGACCTGAAAGACGTGTAGTCTCAAACCAGAGACAGACAGATGTACTGTATAGAGCTAGAAAGCTTAATGGCTCACAAGATGAGCAGGAGAGAGAGAGAGAGAGAGAGAGAGAGAGAGATGGGGCAGGACCCTCTGGCAATATTTCCGATACACTAACATGCCTTGACCTGAAAACAACAAAGCTAATGATATTTTAACTCAAAATGTATACAGTAGCGGCGGTCCAATGAAGTCTCCCCAGAGGACGCCAGTCGTGAGCAGAATTGACGCATTGTTTGGCGTGTGCAATGCTGAGTGAAGCGCAGGGAAGCGGCGAGTCACGAGAGGCATGCATCACGCCAAGTGAAGTGGATAAAGTACACCAATGACCGATCTACTCTACTGTGCAATATCGGGCCTCTTCACCGCCGGCGAACACACAACACGGAGCACGAACCACTGTTTGTGTGCGTGCGCGTTAAGAGAGTTTCATGCCAATCAAAACAAAAATTGGCATGCTTGTTCAAGAACTTTCTCTCATGGGAGGAAGTGAGAGAGACACGCAGACACACTCACACACACAGACACACACATAGACCCGTAATTTCATCATCCCAATTCGCTCATTGTACAGACATAAAACAGGTAAGAATGTCTGAACTCATGAGGTGTATCTTTTCCTGGAGAGGAAGCTCATACTCATTATCTCATCTTTCATTAAATCTATCAGCTGTACATATTGTCAAACAAAAGTAATTAAAAAAGGGACCCAGAGAGGGGGGAAATTACTGGAAAATTACACATTGCATTCTTTGTTCAAGCTCTGGGATGTTTAACAAATGCTGTGGATCTACGTAAGGCCAAGGCAAAGCAGGAACTCTTTGCCGCTAGCGTCCCGCGATTGCATCTGACAATATTTATGCACACCAACTGCAAAAAAAGTCTAAACACCAGACACATGAATATTACCTAAATCTGGGCAGACATTAGGAACTGTTTAAACATCTCCCAAACAGACAGACGACTTTGTTTATACAGGGGAAGATGTTTCTTTTCTTTCTACTCTCTGTGAGGGAAGCATGCAGTCACGCATGAGCGGAGAATGGTTTTTTAAATTGCATATGCTTCACATGGCACTGGGAGTGGGAGAGGGGTGGAGGGGGCGGTGGGGTGGGGGTCTTGCGTGTCTGGCCCACCGCCAGTTGACAGCTCAGCTGGATATCGTTGAACACTCCGAACCCCCCTGCCTCGCAGTGTGTCACTTTGGGATTGTTTCCGCAATAGAAAGTTTATTCAACCTCTCTCTCTCTAAAGGCACTGGACCGGCCATCCGTTCAGCTATTTAATCAGGGGACAGACAGGTTATTTTTCTGACAGGCCCGGGGCTGCTGTGCAATCCCTAATGAACAGCTTGATACAAGAGGAATTTTTTGACCGTTTTTTAGCCTCAATTAATTCTGCTGTCCAAACAAATGAAGGCCACCACTCCTCGGACGCAGCGTCTGGACACAGGGGTCACCATGTGTGTACACACAAACACAGCAGAGGTGAAGCCTTTGTGCCTGTGACCTGACGTAATGTAGTACAAGTACAGGGACTGGGGAAGTGATTGGTGTTTAAACTGTTCACATGCAAATTTCACAGACTAATTAACAGCTGATTGCTTAAAAAAAAAAAAAAAAAAAAAAACAAGCTCAGCAGCTACTCCACTAACTGCAAGAGTTAAGTCACTAACTTATGTGAATGAGCTGTGTGTGTGTGTGTGTGTGTGTGTGTGTGTGTGTGTGTGTGTGTGTGTGTGTGTGTGTGTGTTGTGGTGTGTTGTGTGTGTGTGTGTTGTGTGAAAAAAGAGGAGGTGAGGGCGTGAGAGCCAAAGGAGTCTGAGCAGTGTTTCCCTTGATTGATTGTGCATAGCAAAGTTTACACAAGAGTCATTGTTGAGCTCTGACCTCCTCAAAAGGTTGGTTCTGCCTGCTTAGTCTGCGAGCACAGCAAAGCCCCCTGTGTGTCACATGCTTACTGGAATGCCAAGCCTGCCTACCTTTACAGCAGATTACTATGATTGACTCTGATGGCCCTCTCCTACTTCTAATTGCCCCTCTCTATACACCCCTCCCATCCCCACAAGGCAGGAACAGGCAGAGGACCGATTTATTTACACACAACGCAGGCACTGACCAACACTGATTATTAGAATGAAGAACACACACACACACACACACACACACACACACACACACACTGTAGTGACTTACCTGGTCTCTCCTTTCCCGTTCCTTTGCTCTCAGCCAGTTTCTGTATTAAACTCTCCACTGAGGTGTTTTCAATGTTCCTCACAAATTCATTATGGAGCTGAAAAATCAAAAAGAACAAATCATGTTGACTGACAGGTAAATATGGCTGAACAAGTTCAACTGCAGCGCCTTTTCTTCTTTCTTCTTGACCAGGGCTGTGTATCATTCAAAAATCTTCAATATCCGTACTGACACCGATTCCTTGATAAATCCATTTTAACAAGAAGAAAATTACGATACTCATTACTGTACGAAATTTTATTTTATTTTTGAGCCCGGTCTCTTTACACACTTGAACATGTTTGTGTAAATAAACAGCTTATTGGCTCACTGATGAGATTTACTCATTTACTCCTTAGGTAAAGAATGACATGGCATTTTTCAACCTTCAATAGTATCAAACCATAAAAGTATAGTTCGACACCCGGCCTTAGTATTGACTCAGTAAATTGGTGATCAATACACCAACAGAAAAAAAAGAAAGACATTTTTTTGAAAATGTAATGATCGCCAGTCGCCTCACTAAACAAAAGTCAGATAAACTCCATATCTAAGTGCTGTCAGCGCAGCCACATCCAACTTCACCTTCAAATATGGAACAACACTGAATAAATATTGCAGTGTTGTTTTCCAGTGCTCTGAACCTGACTGAAGAATGAGACACTTTCATTCTGTTCACTTCCAACTGAGCTATTGACTTCTTTCCTCAGGTGATCACTGCTCATTGCGCACAGCTTGTTGGTAGTTTTTTGGTTCTGTAACTCCAATAAAATGTTTTAAATCTATTATCACACGCGCAGGCCTGTATCTGGTCAGCTACATTCGGTGTATGCTGTGTTTATGGACAATTTAAAGCTGCAGTATGTGAAATCTTTTAAGCTGGAGGAGCCTTTTTTGATTGATTATGTTGCTTTTGGTCAAAGTTAAACAGCCATCTACTGCAGTCAGGAAGTGTTTTTCCACTTGTATTAGTCTTTAATGTACACACCAATATATTTGCTTTTTTGCGACACTATAATATAATTTACTGCACTGAACATTTCTCATTGTAATCGATAAATATGTTAACTGTCAATCCCTGGTTGGGTGAAATGCAGTTAGGTAAGTCAGTGTTCAGTGAGCCAACATTAAATTTATTGTTCTGCGCTTTTGACTTTCAAACTGTCAATTAAGTCAGGAGATTTGTTGTGTGATGCACAGGACGAGAGACAAACGCAGCCTGCTGTACTCTCCCTGTAACCTCCACTGCTTTGCCTTTAGTTGATATTTATAACATTTATTTTGTATTCGGCCTGTGGAGACATACTGTACTTTACTGTCACTCTATAGTGTCAGGTTGAATCATTGTTGTTGGCACTGTGGTCTGCCCTTTGGGCTGTATCAGAGGAAGGATAGTGTTTGTTTGCTTGTTTGTTTTGGATGTGCATGTGTGCTTGTGTGTTTACTGACGGGGAAGTGAAAGCGATGTATAGGCATGGGGATGAAGAGTGGTGGTTGACTGTGCCGTCTCACCAAACCATTTAGATGTGCGTGATACTGTGAGCGCAGAGCGGGCTCCCCTATCAAACAAACACACACGCATACGCACACATATGTGTCTGCCCCCCCCAGGCCCCTGTAGCGAGGTGGAGTGCATTAGCCTTCTGTGCCCTGGCAGGAGAGGATGTTGGGGGGGAGGGTGATGCGGGTGAGTAGGGGGGCAGCAGGGAGGTTGCCACGGTGAGGAAGTATGCTCACTGCAGCACACGCGATCTGTCAGGTGCTGCTGCCATGTTGGGGGGGCACTAATGTCATCAACCTGCATGCCCTGCTCGCCTCTTTCTCTCTCACACACACACACACACTCAGACACACACAGACCTCGTACTGCGAAGACCTCTTTCGCCCACATGCGCGAAACATGCATCTGCCTTCAAGGGATCCTCACTCGCACACAAATGCTTACTTAAAAAAACAAACACAGCACGCACACTGACAGACACACCTGCCCTTATGTGAGTTTAAAGCCCTCTGCACAGTGAACAACATTCTGCACTTCTCTCGGCTCAAATAGACACTTAATATAACTATATATGGTATTTTTCTTTCTTTACACACTCACTTTTTCCCTCTCATCCCTTCATTCTAGCACTCTTATCCCTCATGCCCACTGAGCTGGTAATGGCTGAGCCTTGTCTGCAAGCTTGACATTGATACTTCTTGATTTTAGTGACTCTTTCAGTTACAGGTGCCCTTTGCTCAGGTTTCACTCACTGAACATCCCTGAAAGTCTCGTCTCTGGTAGTTTAATGTCCCTGGACTGACAGCACACTGGGCTCGACTGTTGGAGGAGCTACGTAGAAGACAAAAACAACATTTTCGTTGAAGTTGTTGTTTTGTTGTTTGCACAACTGTCAAAGTCACTGCTAACCCCACTGTTGGACTGATGTGGCTGCTAACAGACATGTGTTGTGTGATAAACTGACAAACACGGACCCACCAGCCATTCCTGTTCACCTGCCAGCAAGGAACATAACTAAAGGGGTTTAAGGCACGCAGAGATTCATGCTACCCCACCCCAGATGTGCAAATCTGTTTGCAGGCATCTCCAACCATGCAGTAGAAGTCACTAATGCAGCGACAAGGACATGATGCGCCACCAACATCCCAAAAAAAATGAATTTTATAATGTCTACAGGGAAAGTAATATCTACATTTAAGCGATTTAAACATCAAATATAAATGAAAAACTTGCTATTTTTTCAATGAGTGCTTGACTTTCTAACGGAACAACTAATAACATTGTCAAAGAAGTCAAATCTGCAACATCTTCATCATCCATCATCACAGTATCTTTGCACAATTTTACAGCGTTCCTTTTTTAGTCTGATTGCCTCCCTCTGAGTCATAGATATGTCTTGATGTGAAAAAATATTGATTTTTGCTTTATTGGCAATAGATTTACTATGACTAACTTTAAGATCATTCTACATCTTTGAACATCTTTGATTATCGAGTTGTTTTTTCCCCACTCAAACAACTCTATCCACTATACACTATATATATATATACATATATATATATATATATATATACACACACTATATGCACTCCCTTCACACACACATCATATTCACTCACACATGACTGAGAGACGTAGGTCCTGTTTGCTTTAGCTGGCTGTTACTCTGCTGTGGTGAAAACTTTTCTGTGATAGTGGGACTTGTTGCTCTTTCAACTCTACATTTTGATATTTAAACTTTGACATTAACATAGCTTTTCTAATCCTTTATTATTACTTTTATTCTAATTATTATTGGTGCACATTAGCCTTTTAGCACATCCTCTTGGGTATGCCGCCCCCCACATTTTACTGCACATCCTGAAAATAAATGCAACTAGGTGAGAAATCAATCTTTAAATCTTGAATCTTGAACTATGGCTGAAAGTTTTTATAACTGTTTGGCCACTTTTTGTTAAATATTATAACATAGATCGTATGACATTAAAATGATAATTTAAGTATATTCAGTATAACTGAAGAAATACATCAGTTAGAACAGCAAGAACAATAACTAAAAGTTAATATTACAGTATATACAGTATATACAGTTTCTTGCTCAAAGAAAGAGACTGAAATGAAATGTAACACAAAAGTCGATAAAATTACTCCAAAGTACACAGGGATTCATATCTTCTCTGTGTTATGTGTGTGTGTGTGTGTGTGTGTGTGTGTGTGTGTGTGTGTGTGTGTGTGTGTGTGTGTGTGTGTCTGTCTAAGTGATACAGCTCTCATAACATTAGATATTTTAAATATAAAAAGAAGCACATGTATGTTTTTGTCTGTTTGCTTTTCAGCCTGTGGGTTTAGAGACTTCTCACAATGTTGCAGAGTTAATCCCAGTCTCCTTCACCCTCCTCTCTGTCATCCTGCCTCACCCTTATGTTATAATGGTATTCCCAAACTCCCTCACAACTTGGTGTGAAGACTACTTATCACCAAAATCACAACTTCTTAGACTGATTCTGACTTTCTGGATTGGCTGGAACGACAGGCCACTTGTCTTCAAACAGTATTTTAATTTGGTTCAGCAACAGGCAGCAGCACTGCACATCTCCTGCTCAGAAGCAGGAACTGTGAGACTGAATAACCTGCGGTAGCCTGTCGCTCCACATTCTTTCCAACTTGCCGCACGAGCTGCAGGCCGGAGCGAGACGCTCTCACGGTGGAGCTGCGTCGCCCTCTGTGGACGATGAGGGAACTGCAGCAACTGCTTTCGCACAGAGCAGCCACAGATTAATGAGAGCAGAGCAGCAGATTGTAGTCAGTCCTGAGTTATTCTGTGTGGCACTGGTAAGTATGATTGCTGAATAAATAAATGAAAAGAAATCTCTGTTTCACGTTAAATAGTGATTAATATACTTGTGAACGATGTTTGAAAGCCTTCACAATTGGAGTTGATCAGACCTGCTGCCATTCTCTAAAACCTAAACACACTCTTCCAGAAACAAACGGGCCCATGCAGGACTTCTAGCTTTCAGACACAGCATTTGGCAAATGTTTGGACTTGTGGAGGTGTTTTAGATAGGCTGAGAGGGAGTTTTGATCAGTTTTTAATTGCTTGGCATAAAAGGCTGAATGGACCATTTCCTGCTTCTCAGTTAAATGATTAGTGAGATCAAAGACGACACTAATTGATATGACACACAGTGAACCCAATGAGCACAGCCTCACGTCAACAAGACATCTACTCCACCCACAGGAATGTCAGAGAGTATGTATGTGCGCATGTGTGCATAAGTGCATATGTGTGTGTGTGTGTGTGTGTGTGTGTGTGTGTGTGTGTGTATACTCACCTCTCCTATTTGAATGTGCGTTTCGTCAACAGACTGTGAGTATGACTGAATGATCTCCTTCATGTGGAGAATGTGGCTTTCTTCAATGTCCTGGAATTTCTGTAACACAGAGGCAAAGGGCCGTCATGGCACAACGATGCAACAAATCACCCACTCAAATTAACTGCATACTCACAAATCTGCATCACAGCCTCACGGTGTCATTATAAACAGGCATGAAAACAAAAATAAGTTAAGGATGAAAATGCAGCAGCCAAGGAAACTTCACTTCCTTGTTTTGTCCCTGCTGCTTCCTGTGTGTCTGTGTGTCTGTTTGGGTGGTCTATGGCACTCACACACACATTGCTTCTCTTACAATTATTCTGTTCATTTCATTTCTGGCTCTAAGCAGTAGTATGTGGTAGATCACGGCCTTAAACGCTAGTAGTTACTTCCTGGGCTTTTGGGGGTAACCCAAGGAGAATGAGCATAAATAATCAGAAACTGGAAAATCACAGTGTGGAGGGAGAGGAGCCTTTCTTACCACAAAGAGCCACTCACTGCTGAATCTACACTACAGAGACGTGCTTCTGTCATTCACCACAATAAGAGCCAGCAGACGCTCACACACAGACACACCCACCCACCACCAGACAAAAGACTGCACACATGTAGGAGCCCCAGTGATGTCAGAGAGCACATGTGTTCAGTGTTTATAACGCATGTCCACATGTGCCGAGTTTGAGATGAGCTGTAGACTGTGATCCTGGGGCAAGCAAAGCTGCAACGCCGCTTTCTCCCAGGGGGAAAAAAACAAAAATGCCGGGGCCTAACTGGAACCATTTCTGGTGGCGGAGCTGCTGCGGTGCAGGAGGATATGGAGGCCAAAATCTGCTGATCTGATTTTAATTTGGAGTTTATCTAATCAGCCCTTCAGATGGATCCAATCAAAGGTTTCCACAATGATTCCATTGCAGAGGAAAAAACACAATCTGGAGATGATACAGGGCATGAAACGTGGAACACACACACACACACACACACACACACACACACACACACACACACACACACACACACACACACACGAGACTGACATGTTACACAAGAAAAGTGTTGCATACCACAGCGACTGACAACAGACAGAGTTTGTGAGCACATATTTCATTCAGGCGCACGCACGCAGCACACAGAAATTCAGTTATCACAATACCTGTGCAGTTTCTGCCATCTTCTGTTCAAACTCTGACTTCGCTGTGGCGTACTTCTCCACATATGACTTGTAGGTCTCTGTGGCTTTTTTGGCTTTCACTCCAGCCTGCAAAGTACAAACAGACAGATAAATGGCTATCATCAGTGTATATACTGTAGACAATGGGCCTCTGTTTTCCCAGATCAACTGACAAATCAGCAAAGGAAACCAAACTCCTATTCACATTTGAAAGCAAGAGGCTCTTTGGGGTTAAGGTTTCTGTGAAGACTGGAGTGTTAAGGCACTTCATCATGCCTTAATAGCATACCATGATTATGTGGGCGTGTGTGTGTGTGTGTGTGTGTGTGTGCGTGTACGTGCGAGTGTGACCTCCCACCTTGTCCACATCTCTCTGGGTGGCCCCCTCTTTGCGGAGGCGCTCCTGCTCCACAGTTTTGGCATTGTAGATCTCCTTGGACTTCTGCAGGGCCTGAGATGTGGTCTGGATGTTCTGGACGGCCTCCAGGGTGGACGCCACCTCTTCTTTTGTCTGACAACACACAAACGTCACGTACAGTTACTCAGCCAACAACAGGCTAAATAATAAGTGCAAGTGTCACCCATTGCTCTATAGTTTCAACTTAGCATAATACACAGTCAACACTTGTCCTGGAATACCCTTGTTTATTATGTGAGTTTGGAAAAATAAAACACAGTGGTTCTTCAGTGCTCCAGTAAAACACTATTTCACTTCCTCAGTTTCATTCTCCAGCATGTGACACAGAACTGTTGCACACTGCAGCAGGAAGTGATTAAAGCTATGCAGCAGCTATTAAAAATGGATCCAACTGAACAGACTGCATTTGTCCCATTCTTACAGCTCTTCATATCAACTTGAACAGGAAGGGGTAAAGACTTATAACACACAGTCATGATCTAATGTAAACAGCACTGACATAAGCAGAAGAAAACTAAACTGGCAAAACCCTAAATAATGTACAAATGATGAGCACCCACTCCAAGATGGGTGTTTACTTTTTGTTATCTGCTCTGCTTAACTACAATGTACATTGTGTCTGCAACTTAGCCAAGAAACACAAAGCAGAGAGGAGCAGCGCGTGCAGGGACGAGACAGAGAGAAACTGTAACAGCCACTTTGTCATGCTGAAAGCACAAACAGAACTCCAACGCTAATTCCAAGCTTCTATTTTACTTTGTGTTCTGTGGCTTCATGCATGAGATATGAGCTGATGGTGTGTCTCAGTGGGGAGGAGACATGGAGGAGTGAGGTGTAGAAGGAAAAGCTCCATAGAATTACACTACACACAACATTTTCTCATGCTGGGATTAACTGAAATATTGTATATTTCTTGTGGAATATGTAAAAAAAAATAGATGACAATCGGGTGAAGACATCCTTGTGATGCCTGTGTGGCAACAGTGGAGCAGCAAGCAGCAACAGTGGAGCAGCCTGTGTGGCAAGCAGTGGAGCTACTTGTGACAATTGGAGGATAAATCTAAATGTGTCCAAGCCACCAAGAAGCAAAAACTGGCATAAATGCTCAAATTTGAATTTGTGTCTGATTTAACACTTCAGTTGTTTTTTTTACACTTCTTGTATTTAAAATTTGAGTAATTCAGCTTCTTTTTTTTGAATTAGAAAAAAGGGGTTTTGTAGATTTTCGTTAAAAAAAAAAAAAACTGTATTGGTACCAAAACACATATCACAAAAGTATCTAAATTTGATCCATCTGAATGCCACAGCTTCCTTTATTCTCCATCTCTGTACCTTTTTGTGTGCTTTGGCCTGCTCCTCCACGTACTTCTGAACCTCTTTTATAAGCTCCTGTAGTTTCCTCACTAGCTCCATGTGACAGCTGGCCAGCTTCTCTGTCGAGCTCTTGAACACATCCCACACCGGAGCAAACGTCCTGGGATGAAGGATGACAGACACCTCAGAGGTTAGGACATGGCCAGACCTTCTTCCATTAAATTCACACTGGTCTTTCATTTAAAAAAAAAGAAAATAGACAGACGTTTAGACTCACCCAAGCTGAGAAAAGTTGCCAGCTGACTTGGCAAGTTTGGTCATTGACCTGGCATAGGCCTCTTCAATAGTACTCCTACGACAGAGCGAAAAACACAACACACACAGACATCATTAAATCATTAAATCACACTTTGATTTGAATTAACAGTGTCACATGTACTGCATTGTATAGAATGATAAAGTTTTTCTGAAGTATTTTCAACTAGGCTATGGCTCAGAGGGGCCATGCCACTGAACAACTGCAGATCCCAGCCAGAAACACCCACTTAGAGCTTGCAACATAAATGTTTGACCACATGCACAGTGTGTGGCCAAATAAGTGTGGTTTGGCTTGTGATTTGTTCATAAACCCCATGTTGAAGCTGACAGGGTATGAAAGTTAGTGTTTGAAACCCTGCTTCTCCCAATTTTCCTTTTTATTTCTTCTTTCTGCAGCAAAGTGACAGGAATAAAAAAAATAAAAAAAACTGCAGCAGTGTTATACTGCAAGCCTGAATTATGCATGTCTCATTTTGCCAGCCTCTCTCTGCAGTCACATCACAGCAAGAAGGTCAGCCAGGGGGAAACAGGACACACACACACACACACACACACAGAGACACACACACACACACACACACACACACAAATGTCCCATGGAAGAAGAGGGAAACTCACACACAGCACAGCAACAACACAGAAGATGGCACAAGCTAGTATTGCACTGTGGGCTGAATTCCCACTTCCACATCTTTGCGAGCCCAGAATGGCAGTTTTCATTTTTATACTTTATCATGTTGTAAATACTTCCAGAACTAGAGGGGCATTCAGAGAGCACAGACATCCGCAAAGCCAGTGTCAAACAACATTCACCAGACTTCAGAGAAAAGATTTTTTAATTCCTAGTTAATGATCCGGATCTGGCCCAAAATGTAATGGGTTGCTGGTCCATGCCCCATCCCTCATCCCCCAAATCAGTTCAGTACTTTTTGCGTAATCCTGCTGACAAATAAACAATAATAACCATTTAAAAACCTGGTGTTTATACTTCTAAACCAGGACTTATGAAAGCAGTTTAAAGTTTACATGTTGCGTTATGCACAAGAGACGCACACAGATCTTACACAGAAAATTATAATGCTTCACAGCTATATTAGTCACATCTTTCACACCTTTTGACTTCATAGTTAGACATGTACACAACCACACTTCTTCTCTAAGTCAACTTTGAGTTCTTTCTAAGAATTGTTTTCCTGTTAATGCTCTTGTATGTTGAAGGTTGTAGTTCATGCGAGTTACTGGGGGGCCACATAATATTCAGGCCTGAACTCCGTTTCCCAAATGCAACTTGAGGCTGATTCTAGTCTCATTCTAAATCTGTGCACTAACATATTCTTAGTTTGGCTTTCATTCTGTGTGAGCAATGACACTGTTTTGACCACAGATGGTTTTCAGATGAAGTGACCTGATCTGAGGTCAAAGCATTGTCAATCAAACCGTTGACCACAGATGGTCTTGAGGGTAAATTCTTGACCTTGGAAACAGCAGTTGTTTTTTTTTTTTTTTTAATGAAATAAATTAAGACAACTGAGCCATCTCCATGACAACTGATCACACTCTGTCTGCTGAGGAAGACTGAAGTCGTGTCCCAAATTCTTATTACATACTAATCGAGGCAGAGTTGGAGTATGTAGTGTGTTCACATTCAAAAAAGTGTGTAAAATACAGTAAATTTTTGAGTGTGTTGTTGATAATCACTAATCTGCCACAATACAATAAACAAGAACAAAGAAATGGTGGCGCTGCTTACGGACGGAAAAACTGAAATTTATTATGGGTGGTGCTGAGGCAGCTCCAGAAAGATCTTGGAAAACAAAAAATAAGTAATAAATCTTAGGAGAAACACGCTGATGTCTCTTTGTGAAGTTTACTGGCAATGGCATGTGTATTGTATTATTTACTGTTAGTATAAAGTGGTGAAGTATGTTGATTTTTCTGTATACTAACTGCAGCATTTTATGACAATTGTGTGAGATGCAGTTGAGCGAGTCCCAAAAAGCTAATACATGAACCTGGAATTCAGATTATTTCGATATATAGTCTCTGGCACTTGAATGATTGAAATGTCAATCATATCCACTTAGAATAAAATAGGAACTGAGAATCAGAAGCAGGGTGCAGGTGTTTTTTTGTCTCTCAGTGTTGGTAAAAACAGCTGCTATAGATTTTAGGAATGTGTGTTTGTCTCTGGAAGATTGCCTATATAGTCTTAGCCTTAAAATGCTTTTAGGGACCTGCGCAGTGATTGACATTAGGGCAAATATCCTGGGAAGACATTAACACAGTGAACAGTGCTGTTTCCCCCAGCAGAGGGAGCCATAGTGCTGCTTTTCAAAGGGGAACGACCATGAAACATCACTCGGTCTGTGAACTCAAGAGGCAAGGTCAGTCTGGAAGCTGCCACAACAGAGTTATGATACTTAATCTTCACTTGACCTTCTGTCTCCTGGTCAGTGTTGCACTGATTCATTTGTATATTACAAACAACCACATCTCTGCAGGCTGCAAGGAGAGTTTATGTTTCAGCAAAGTTAAAAGCTTAATGATGATTTATTCTAACAAAATGAGTTTAAAATGGTTGATCCAATCACAGGGATGTAAATGTGCTAAAATATCAATATTAGCCACATTACGTGACTTCATTACTTATTCATAAATGTTTTCCGAAAAGTAAAACTCAATTAACATAATGGAAAGAAGCAGATTTTCCGACCATCTTTAAATAAACACAGCTGACCCAGGACGTCAAATCCGACTGAGTGCATCCCTCAAAGTCAGGTCGACAGTGGAATCCACAGTTGAATTCCAGTGGTAGACCATCTATCATGCAGTAGGTCATGAACACACACCTCTACCTCAGTGAGGCCAAGAATTTGAAAAGAAGCTATCATTATGGTATTATCAAGCTGTTGACACTGAAGGTGTGTAACATAATACCAGGTTACAGGTTGTTCCAAGTTTAAGCTCCTTCGACAAAGAGGTTAAGTTTGCACAACATACAAACTGATTTACCTACTCATGATGTTGCCCTTATTAAATATTTTGTTTGATACACTAAAAAAACTACATTATGAGGCTTTTGAGACAATTTGCTGCTTTTCTTTGTCATATATCATAGTAAACTAAATGTCTTTGGGTTTTGGACTTTTAAGACAACATTTTCACACGTCACCTTGGATTCTGGGAAGTTTCTTTAGGCATTTTGACACATTTAATAAACAAAACCATTAATGAGTTGTTCAAATAACAGAGAGATTAATTGCTAATGAAAAAATTGGTGTCAGCCCTAGTTAGAACGAACCTGGACGTCTCGAGATCAGTAGCAATTAAGTCTAAAGTCTATGTCAGTATCAGTCTCAGCTAAGCCTTTGGTTGTTGTTACAAGGACAATACAAGGAACAGGAGCTGCAGGTGTCGACGTAGAAATGCCAAGAAAACCACAAGAAAGGAAAGACACGTACTGAAGAACTAGACACATTATTAAAAGGTTAATGAGTGATGTGCTGTATGTACTAGATTAACTTGTTGTTAACCTCTTCAGAATAAGACTAAACTGATGTGTGTGCCACCACTGGGTCTTACCTTTCTCTGATGAAGTCTGTCAGCTCCTTGGAGGAAATTTGACCATGCTTCATGTTATGGTAGAGCACATCAAAGCCATTATTTTTTTCCCCCTGTATTTCAGAGACATAAAGAGTACAGATAGATCAGATAGCAGAACAGGAACCATGTCGAATAAACTCAGTTATGGATCACACATTACCATTAAGACTTTTCCTACAAGCAGCATTCTCATTGTCTGCACATCTTCCAGCTGCATCTGCAGCAGCCTCTGGTCAACCATACACATCCTGGCCATGTCTGAGCGGGATGAATGTTGAATATATTTGAAATGACAGTAGGTTGGTCTAAGGCTAGAGTATATAAAGTAAGATAGCCAGACAACTGGCGGTCTGTGTTGCCGTCACCATGCCACTGAGTAACAGTCTCCAGTTGCACTGATGCTTTAAAAATGCAAACAAACCTCTGAATAATTCATTTGAAAGAAAATTTACAGGTTTGGGTTAAAGAAAATGTTTGATTATCATAAATAACCGACTATACACTATAATACTACTACTAATAATAATATTAATAATAGTAATGATGGTCATTTAGTACTGCTTTTTCAAAATACTCAAAAATGGTTTATATGGTCAACAGGATAGAGAGAGAAATAAATAAGATAATGAATAAAACATTAATTGAATCACAAGCAAAAATTATATCAATGAATTCAAAGGCTAATGTCACAACAATATAAAATTGCTTAGAGTAACTTACTCTCTTACTGAATTACCTCCAGTATTAGAGATAGAACAAAATATATCAGCTATATCTATATTGGCGTATTGCAGATATATTGGTATCAGTGTGTCAGACAGTAACTGCAGAATGGAAATGCCAAACAAGGCTTCATTTAATTTAGAAACAGTGTCACCATCACATAGTTTGTCCAGCAGAAAGTGCTGACAAGTGGATTTTTTCAACTGTGACATGCCGCACTCATATGTATGCAAACTGCCAAATATAGATAGAAGTATCACCCTCATATATCCAGTGTATGTAAGGCTATATCCCTATAATATCCCACTCATCCCTATAATGACAGACTCTGTCTCAATCAAACAGACAGCCTGCAGAATCAGAAAATAAACTTCATTTATGAACTTTACCATTAGATAGACTTCAGTTGACCTTTACTAAAATGACTTTGATGGAGTTTTGAAAGTAGCTTTGGTCCTAAAAAGCTGTTTGTTTACATTAGCACAGTTGACAGGTCAGGCCAGCAATACTGTGCTCTGCAGCAGTAGGTGGCCTTCACTCTAAACTTTGCTGTTGACACTTTATTCTTGATACAGCTTCAATTCAAAGTCTCTCAGTTATTTCTGAGAAGAGAAGATAAAGAAGATTCACTTTACTTCCTCATCGGCCTCCATTAGGCTGTTGCTTCAGTGAGAGAGGAAACATACATATCATGCCTTGTGGCAAGGAAGTGCTCTTGTTTTTTAGGAGGCAGATTATCTGACAAAACGGATTTACAGAACAACTGTCCATCAGAAAACAATAACCAGTGAATTCATGGTTTTGATTGTGATGCCTTGTAACATCTTGTTAGGCAAATAAAATATCATACATTTTGTTAATCATAATCTAGAGGACTGAAGCACTACCTCTACCCAAAAGTGTCAAATGAAGAGGATGAGGAAACCCATACTTTCACTAGAACATAGGCTGAAGTTGATATGATAACACCTCCACTGAAGTTCATCCTCATTCTTGTGACTGTCACAGATATTTCCTGATTCCTGGAGCAATCCACTGTCAGCAGTTTGGTGGTTTTCAACAGGCTACAACTTCAGCACAGTTTTAGCACACAGGGTTTAGACTTGTTTTTCCACATTGACAAACATGAAAGGTCATGAAGTTTGTGTCATAATGAAACTCAGAGCTAGTTACAATAGAATTATATTTACAGAGCAAATAGACATTAAAAGAAAAGCATCCTTCTCAAGGCTACAGCTTTGGCCTACATTTTACCCCAATGAACAGACCACTGAGATGTGTTTCCTGTTTTAACAAGATAACCATAAAAAAAGTACAAGTTTAATTGTTACCCCGCCTGCAGCAAACAGCATGACATGCAAACTACTGCACACATTAGATGTCAAGACAGGAAGGTGAGACACAGACACACATAATGCTTACTCCACATTATACTTGCACTCTACTGCCTAAACTATAAGAAACACAGAGTAAGGGAAACATTGACAATCAGCCAATCAATCTACAAAACAGGGAAGTGACAAAAGTGAGTGAAAACACACACACACACACACACACACACACACACACACACACACACACACACACACACACACACACACACACACAAACGGCTCCAAACAGAGCAGAACAGCAACAGGAAGAAAGTCCATTCTGCGCAACAACTACACTCAAGAAGAATGTGTTATCAATGAATACAAAGAAAAATAAAAAACAAACACAGGAAAGAGCTCAGGGCGTTTTTGACTTTTCACCAGGTTACAATACTGGAATTGATTCTGAGGGAAAAAAAAAATTATCCTTACAAAGCAAGAGCCAAGAATGTAAAGACGTCACTTTAAACAAGCCTGATATATGTGATTTATAAGTTAATTACACATCTCTAATTCATCTATTAGCTAAATTAGGGCCGTGCAACCACATCCATTTCAACAGCGGCAGGGAGAAGTGATACCAGAGTTTCTCAACGTCCTCGTCTGGAGACTCATTGATGAAAGCCCTCGTACTGGCTGTTTAATATTCCAACCACACAATTGTGAAATTCAGAAGTACTCATTATGCTTGGATTTAGATGGAGAGGTTTTTTAACCCTCTGCCCCACCCCAGAGGGAGGACAACATCCTGAGAGGTTAGCACACATGTCAATCACGCTTAGTTTGAGCAATAGCACAGTGTGGAGCTTGAGGCAGCTTCCCACAGACTGCTGGAGTTCATAAAAAAAAAAAAAAAGGGTAGAGAGTGAATAGTGCCAGTAGTCCAATATCCAGTCTGTGCCAATATCATCACTCACAGAAACAGACCCCAACATGAACTATGGCTGTGATGCACGGACTACAGGGGACTCAGCGTCTCTGTGTGCTCTAGGCTGAAAAGAAAGAAAAAAAATGTAGGTAACAGCCCAGCTACTAGACATCTGACGTCACGGTTGGACGTGAACCAAAGCTCATGCTGGGAAGAGTGGTCTCACTCATAAGCAGTTAGACGGAAAAAACAGGAACCTCACTTACTATTAAATGCAGAATTTAATATACAGCAGTAAACTAAGGCTTCAGGTTATAGACTAGTTATTTAGACTGAATCCGGCCTGTTCTTTTCCTGGAAAAAAAAAAAAAAAAACACACAACTCACTGACTGAGTACTGCTGAAGGTTCAAGGACCTCTTCAGTGAAGTTATACAACAGTTAAACATGAGTGAAAAAGCTTTGACTTTTGATACTGCCACCTGTTTCCTGAAGACAAGTCAACCCTCTCATTTCTAATAATTCCTGTTCCTGTCATGTTTTGATACGCCTACTGGAGAGTTTATAGATAATTCAGTCTGGATTTGGATCGGCCTGTTTGTCGTCTGATAAAATTAGAGGAAAAGAACATTTTTGAAAATCACTTCACTGTAAATAAGCCTTTTAGACCGCAAAAACTACACTACACACAAACACTACTTCAAGTCTGGCATCAGAGCTGCAAGTTTAAGTTGATTAGTCAATCAACTGAAAATGAATCAACAGCCATCTGTATAATCAATCATCAATTTAATCGTTTTTCAGTCATTTTTCAAGCCTTACCTTCTCAAATTTCACATTTTCTGTGACTGGTGTGATAGTAAACCTGAATAACTTTGGGTTTACTCAAGAAAATAACCAACAGATTATTTGCTAACAGTCAGTTAGGGTTAGGGAAGAGTGGAGGAAACCTTATCTAGTCTCATATCAGCATATGCATCATATATATATATATATATATATATATATATATATATATATATATATATATAGCACATAGCTTTCTCATCAGGCCACAGTTTATTTTGTCAATAAAAGACTTCAATAAGCAGAGAATGAGACACAGGCAGTGGTATAATGAAATGGCTCTGTTTAATCCACGGGTTATAGAGCGCCATGACTGCAAAACATACCACACACTGCTTCCAAAATATAAATTCTATTATGTTTTCACACACAAAAACATCAGTGCAACTACGCCGTAAAATCAACGCACAAAAGAAACTGTTACATTGCTGACACCCTTAATCTTAAATACCACCTTAAAGGACAGTTAAACAAAACCACAGTGCTGCAGTTTATCATGTAACATCTGCCGGGCAGAGGAGGACAGGAATTCACTCTCTCTCTGTTACAGTACAATACCAGTTTCAATATCCTGTGTGTGGGGAATCAAGTGTTTATTGCCTGACAGGCAGTAATGCAACCCATGACATGGAGAGACTCCTGGTTAGCTGCTTCTAACAACAAGGGATAACTAAGATGAACCAAGCTTGAGAGTCACCGAAAAACTTTCAGGAGACTGATTAACACTCAGCTGCCAGTATTACATCTAGTAGTCCAATACAACAATCCTGCAATAAATCCTCAATTGTGAAGATTATAAAGTTCAGTTTGAAAGTGTAACTGTTTCAGAGAGGTGATGATTATTAAACTATATTAATCATTTTCAAAGATGTCATTTTTGTTGCTGTTAAACTGTGTTGTATCATACAGAGAGGTGTGATTGTCTGCATGTATTGAAAGTTAGAGTAGGTCAGAAAACAACACTGATTTCCCAGTAAGGGTGTCACAATATACTGGTATTGATGATAACTGTGGTATTTACAAAAATGAAATATTGATATAGTGTTAATAACAAACATATGATAATATCCTGATGGGAGATGTTAGACCTTGTTGATCTTTTATCAGTTCATCCGGTTGGCTTTTCACTATCCTTTCAGTGTAATTGTTCTTTTTGTACAGTTAAGTTTGCAGACTCCCTCTCTCTCCACCTCCCTCCACTCGTATTCAAGTCTGATTCATTTGCCAAAAAAGACAAAAAAAACACCCAATAAAGAAAATAAAAGATTAATCCGAGTGATAGCAATGACTTTTTAAAGATGTTTCTATACACATCGCGATAAATACCTTTCTCTGGAATTCTTTTTGGCATCAACAATCATGTAGTGAAAATCTGATATCATGGTAGTCCCAGGAAAAATGTTTTCTTCTGTTTCACTACACGTGTGTAAGAAATTACACTAAATAGCTATCATTAAATACTTTATGTGCTGGAAGCATGCAGAAAAAATAATTGCACATGCTTCATACCAAGAATAAAGACCTACATCAGTGTTAAAACACATTGGTATGCAGGCTGCAAAGTGGGACTACTTCAAAAACAAACCTGTTACTATTAAATTGTGAGCAGAAATAACAAAAACTTCTCTGTCGTGGCTGTTAAAGCTAAAGTGCTGTAGTGTACATAGTAATGCATTCATCACATAATGGTGCAAAATGTATCATACGTTGGTTAAATGTGTTTTAGGAAGTTTAACTTTCAATAATTTCCACCAGCGACTGACCAGGAAAAATATTAAGAAGGATTAAGAGTGTGCCAGCTGACATGACTCGTCAGCTTCTGAACAAATGTTCAGGTGAGAGCAGTAGAGAGACGTATGAGTGAACACCACTGAGGAATTTGGGTATAGCTAAACAAGAGACCCTCTCTCCAGACAGAGTGTAAACGGTGGCCTGGTGTGGCCTGTAGACCCCAGAGCTCTGGGCGGGTAGACAGCAAGATGACATCAGAGTGTCTGTCCTGGGTCATGTGACCACTGGGGTCTGGGAGCGGTGCACTGAGCTGTCGCAACTCATCAGTCCAACAGCAACACGCGCAGGCTGGGCTTTGTTTGTGTTATAAACATAAGTGTACAAGAGCTTGACCATTACTTTCAGTGAGGGATGTGATATCAAGTTGTACTGGACAAACCCCCGAACAGGTTAGTGTCTCACGGCTTATGAGTCATTTAACCACCTCTGAACCCACACATAGGAGTTCATGAGAGCTGGTGGTAAAAGCAAATGACAACAAACCAACATCAGACAGGATTTCAGTTTCAAGCAAAACCCAAAAGTCAATGTTGACCAAAATCCTTTCACCCTCTGTGAACACTATAGGAATCACTGGTTCTCATGGCTCAAACTCAGCAAGACCTTCCTCTGAAGACAAAGATGGAAAGCAATATGGTAGCGGCTCTGTTTGTGTATTTGAGGCTCGGTTGTTGAAAGGGGCTGACTGTTGAGAAATGCGTCATTATAAAACACTGACCATCTCTTCTTCTTACTTCAGTCTTTGCTGTGTTATTGCTACACTTCACACGTCTGACCATGAGTTTGTGCAGTGAGTTGTGTGAGAACCTATTAGACCACACACACACATACAGTACAGACACCAGGGAGAAGACGGCCGTCCCGGGGCTGTTGGCTCTATCAACACTGTTTGCTTATCACACTGCCATCTTATTTTCCCATGACAGGCTTGAGGCGAACAGACTCCACATTAAACATAAGCTCATCACAGATATAGGGCTGAAACTAGACCAATAGTCTCTGGTTCTACTACCTGCTGCCATCCTAAGCCACTGACTGAGGCATTTAAGTACAAGTGGGGACAGTGACACATGGTGCACTTTTGCTATGAAAGCTTTCATCCACAGCGAGCAGACCTACTCATGCACATTTAACACACAGAAAAAAAAGGGAAATGAGACGTGCAAGTAAATCTAGAGAGCGGAAATGTTGCAGCCAGTGACCAATCAAGTGCCACAACTTAGACTGAAAAACAACATGGCCGTACTATGTCTGGCTGCTAATTCCAAAAGAACTTGTTTATTCAGCTGAGGAGAGAAAATGTCTACATCAGAGATTCAAGCCAAGATTGCATACAAGGAAAAGAATCAACAAAAATGTCTCTACAATGATTACACAGCAAAAGAGGACAAGCTGAAGAGAGGTGTCCACTTTTGGACAGGGTGCAAAAGTAAAACTGATCGAAAAACTTTTCAAATCCAACAGCCTAATGTGTGTGTGTGTGTCTGCTTGTGGTGATGATTTGTAGTCAAGTCAAAGAGAAATGGATGCATCTCCTAATGCCAAGTGTGTCGTGTGTGTGTGTGCCCTGCATGTTAAACACACAGCTGATCTTTGCCATCACTGGATTCTCTTGTGGCCCACTGCAGGGCACAAAGGGCAGATTGAAGAATCAGGAGCGGCTCAGCTCTCCTCTTTTCCATTTAGCTAATGATGAAGTCTCCTTTAGAAAAAAAAGGCTTTAGAAATTAACAGCACTCGCTTTGCTTAATGCAATTTCATTCCATATAGTTTATCAGCTTTGTAAGCAGGACAGCTGAGGCTAAAAACTAGGGCTCTATTTTCCCACTTTTGTGAAGATAGAGATACTTAATGAATGAAGGTTATTTCTAGCTGAGGAACTGGCTGACATGCTTTATGTTAAAGATGTGCCTTTTGGAATCATGAAATTTAATCCAAGTACCACATTTCCAAGAACTGTAAGTACACACAACCTTTGAAAAATAACAGAGCAAAGCAATAACACATTTATTAGCATATATCTCTCCTATTCAATCAATCCAGCAAACCTACTGCTATTCACCAAAACCACTTGATGTCAAAGTGGAAAACCCCAAACAACGACAGTACAGCATGTACACCAGTTCAGATATGATTCAGCGTGATTAAAAACACAAAACATAATCCACAATGTCTGCAGTGGTTACAGTGCAATACATGACCTTAGGCTAGAGCAGTAGTCCTAATGAACTTATGGCCTGAGCTGTTTTCACTATTGATAACACTGTCTTTATGGCGTTAGTGTTTTGGAAAAAAACAAGCAATAAAAGACAGGTGAAAGACAGACAGGTTTGTGAAGGCAAAATTGCGAATGAAATTTTAACTTTTACTTTTCAACCTGCCATAACAAAGCCACGTCAAATAATTATCGAGATAGAAATGACCTTTAGGGAGTAAATAGACAACAACTGTACACAGTGTAATAGTGAAATACCCACAACAGCAGCAGCTACACTAAAATATGAGCTAAATGTTCAACACAGTACGAGGGTGAATTCGTGTTTTTAAAGCTGTTCTCCAACTCACTAAACATCTGGCCTCTCACTGAAACTTTGTTACGGAAGAAAATGACGCGTACGGCCAACGGCTGTGACTGACAGCCGAGGCGACCAATAACATTCTTGGAACTGACCATCAACATTCCAAGCTAGCCCGAGACGGCCAATTAGCGGGAGCGGAGGGTGGAATCTTGGAGGTTTCAAGTTAGATGGGTTCACCGAGGCCCAAATCCCGGGGTGGCAAAATAATAATCGCCGAGTAAAATTAACGATGGCCGGGGAGCTGCTGACCGGTCAGTCTGGCGGCACCGGACACCGCCACTTTAACAGGAGCTAGCCGAATAATTAGGCGACTACCTCTGCAACGTGAATAGCACTTGATTCCTAGCTGACATGAACATGATAGGGAGGGAACACCGCAAGAGAATAAGGAATAGCACCGGTGTAAACACGGTGAATAAAAAGACACCACCTACCCAGAAATTCTCTAGGAAGTAGGGCGTTATCATCTTGTTTTATTCCTCTTCGCCGCAACTCTTAAATCTGTTGTACTGCAACTTTTAAAGCGTAAATCATCCACCGTCCTCCCCCCGTTTCTGTTGTATCTGCCTTTCCCCGTTTTCCTCCCCTTTCTTCTCCCTCCCCACCTTTAAACTCCACCTCCAGTCGGCTGTGCTGCGTCTCTCCCCTACGGTTTCTTGCCGTTGAAAGGCAGACTTCTGGAGGACTAAACAGCGCTACCAATGGCGGTTAAAGACACCAGACAAAACAAAGCGCTGTCGGTGGGTAAAATGCTGCTTTCATGTGCTTCAGGTAAACTCCAGCACTCGTGTAGACCAAACATGTTGCAGCGGTATATTGGGCAGGATAAACCGTGAAGTCATCGAGAAATTAATGTTTAAACTTATTGAAAACAGCATAAACAAAAAAATCCGATAGACTACAGCAATATACACAATATCTGCGACGTAGTATGAAATTATGTGGTTTTAATGTAAATTCCAGGCTAGTTTTGGGAACACACTTTGTGAAAACTGCTCCCTAATCTTTTTTTTTTTTTTTTTTTTAAAAAACGTGTTTCTTTTATGCAGGCCCGTACACTAATTAGTATGTTTACAGCTTTTGTTAATTATACCTATTGTTCATAATCATACTTAATTTTAGATTTCCGATAGAGATTGTGTACTTTAAGGCAACGCATTCCACAAATAGTGCTAAAAAGGAAGTCAAACATGAATGCATAGTAAACATTCAGGTGTAAATATTATGGCAAGTCCGCCCCTTCGCATGCAGCATTGTGTGCTGCTACACTGTCATATTTGCTAAGACTCTATTAAAGTTACTGCACACTTAATGGGTCCATCTTTGGAGAGAAATCAGTACTTGTGTGGGTGTAATCCTTTAATATGATCAACACAGTTCGTCGTGTTTGGTCAATTTTTCTAGGTTGGGTTAATCATCATGTTACTACTTGCTACAAGCATTTTAACACATATTCAACATTTGATCATAATCATACAGAGGACCCACAAACGCAACACTTAAATCTAAGTTTGAAAACTGATAAACTCTGCTCAAGAGTCCTGAGCCTCACTGATAAAAGATAGTACAGGCCACTGAGGCAGCAGTTACATTCTTCCTCTAACGAGTTTCCTTGCATGTTAATAATGAGCAGCTGCAGAAAAAAAATACATGACAAAAACCACATACTAATGTAAACAATTTATTGGAACAATGTACAGATTCAAGCAATGGTAACCAGTCACACTCACTATATCATCTTACAAATATTACAAAATTACTACAGTACAATATAGATTCTTTGCATGATCCAAAATATTTGGTGGCCCCAAAAGTTTTACTTTTTTTTTTTTTTAAATTCAGCAGCTTATTAAAAAAAAAAAAAAAACTCAAACCATGTCTATCAAAATGATGTTTCTGCTTTTAATAGCAAAAATGATGAAGGCATATAGTCTAATCAAGTTTGAAGGCTAAATGAGAATACAGGAGTTCTTTGACTAGACATTCCTCAATATTGGTGGGTGCTTTATAAAATACAAATTTTCAATAAAGCTTCATAGAAAGTCAAACTCATATTTGCAAACATCATGTTTATAACATTAAGTCCACAAGTTGTCAACCTATTTCTTTTAAATCAGGTGTTACCTGTTTCTTTAGATACAGCATACTGTATATCTATTGCAAAACACCAACAAAACCTCAAAGTACTTGCTCTCAAGGCATTGTGTACACATTACACTAAATATTTATCGTAGTCTGATAACAATCACTTCTGACGAAAGGTACATAAAGTATGTGCAAGTTACCATTTCCAAATTATTCTTTCCCCCCAGCGTTGCAGTTGTAATCACATTTGACAGCTAGCTGTGTTGCACACATATAACATTAATGTCAATTAACACCCATGGTTACCCATTTCTAATATGAAGGGCTAGAGTTTTACTAATCTTTAGTTGTTGAGAGGAGATGGATAAAGGCGTACACATCGGGGAAAACAATAAAAACAAATAACACTGAACACAGACAACCTGAGGTTAACACATAGAAAACACATATTCAAGTAGTGAAACACAACTACAATGTATAGCAGCAGTCGAGTCAGAAATACAGCACAGCAATGGTGGGGGATTGTTTTGTGTGTTTTATAGACCTACACTCTTTCAATGAAAGAATAACAGGACTGTGTACACACACCAAGCCGTGCTTACTCTGTTTTTTTGCATGCCAAACAGCTGGAATGTGACAGACAAAAATCACTTCAAAACACAAAATGATGTGGCACATACAATTAATTGCCTCTGTATTCCATGATGCATTATACTCTATCCTACATTTACCCCATTAATATTAAATCAAAGAGACCACTTATATATTTCACATTGCTCAAAGTTTTCTGACACTAAACTACTTTTACAGTCTAATAACCCAATTGCATCAAGTTACTTATTACTAAGTAAATGCATTTTTTTAGCAGCAATACTTTGTTAATAATCTGTCTTTACACTAGAGTCATATTCTGAAGGTTTTGGCTACATCTTTAATTTCAAGCACTTGCAATTTAATATTTAAGTGCATGTCATGTGCACCGCAAAAAAGTTAAAATACTGCAGTTATTACTCTGGCCAGCAGAGGAAAAATGACTGGCTGGGCATAAAAAAAAACAATAACAATAAAAAAAAATATCCTCCTATCTCTCCAACCCATCATGGAATACATTCAGCCTATTTGTAACTTAAACACTTACACGCTTTATAAAATATAACGTCGCAAAAACAAGACAATAACATTGTAGTTTCACAGTATTTAAAAACTATACATCCAGCTATGGGGCGAAAGGTTAGGGAGAACACTCCAGCAAGATTTAGTAATTAAGTTCTAACTGTCCCAGTGTTGCAATACCTAAGTGGTTACTATGTACTTTTAAAACCTTTAATTGAAGCTCCCCTCCCTCCCATAAACTCCTTCCCACTATATGTTGGGGTGTGAGGGGCCACCAACATGCAAGAGATGAAAGCATCCAAGTACCCCACAAAACACAACCACCCAAAACATTAGAACACAGTCATCCTCAAGATCATGCTTTTAGCACAAGAAGCCAAACAACCAATAACAAAAACTTCAGTACATTGAGAAATGAACATATTCAACATTGATTTTGAAGGACTGCATGGTTCTGACAGCCAAAGTCACTAAAAATCACTAAAGACAGGATTTGTGTCATTGTGGTTTAAGTCCAAGAAACAAGAGATAATGGCCGACTCACAGGGTGTTAACCTGCATGCTTCTCAGTCATTTTTCTTTCACGAGGCTCAGACAATGTAGAGGATTGTTATCATCTAAAGCTTTGATATGTCTGCTGATGAATGTCTATGTCACATTCACACCACAAGACCAAACTGAGAGATTCACTCCAACATTACATCACAGCCAAGATTTTACACATTGCCTAAATTTGGTGTGTAAACCCAGTCATGCTACATTACAGCTGATTGCCGTAATTCTCTGGTAGAGGAAAAAAAAACAAACAAACAAACAAATGTACTGTAAATTGATAAATTACAAGGTCAAAGAAGAACCTTATTACAGGGCAATGACAGCTGTCAAATGCAACACACATCACTAATATTCTACAGCTTTTCACAATGATACAAGCATGCTACCTATTCCCAGAAAAGCTGCTCTTAAAAAGAAAATCTTGTGCTCTCCAGTGACGTAATTAACAGCATTTGCCCTGTTAAAGAATAGGAACACTGAAATTATCTGATAACTATATAGGTGATAACTTATTCTTCATGATACGCAGCATTATAAAATTATTTTCTCCAGAGATGGATCCAATACGATGCATTCTTATCATAGGATGCTCATTCCTTAGCTTTGAGCTATCTGTGTACTTAGAGAAAATATCTCTTGATTTCACTCGGTCAATTGAGAACAGTCTTCAGTTCGCCAGGTAGAATTCTGTGTCATTAAACTACCACATGTCATTTACCTGACTGACATGATTATAAATGTGTATCGACTCTGAAGACCATTTTCTGCACTAGCCTTTCAATATGTGAAAATTCATCATCTAACTAAAATGAAAGAGCAAATGCTTTACAGAGTTTTGCAAAGTTTTCTCCATATTTGCTTACGATTCTTTTCAGTAGTTTGGTGACAGAAAATAAAATGTTTTGGGGAAAAAAAAAAAAAAAAGAAAAAAAAAAGAAGAATGTGATAAATTTCATTATTTTGGGTTGAGATGTGATAACATGAAATTTCCTCCCACGATAAGGTTGTACTGCCAGTCCCTTTCCCCCTTTGCCTGTGCATAGGGGCTTTGAGCACTGCAGCTCCCACCTCCCTCCCACCCCGTCCACCAGGTCGGGGAGGGGTCCGCACCCCTTCCCTCCCCTGAGCAGGCAGACCCTTCCCCCCAGTAAAGGGTAACATGTTCCCTGGGTAAAAGAGGTTCCCTATTTTGTCTCCCATTGTGAATGACCTGTGCAGAGAAAAAGAGGCATCATTAGAGTGCAGCACAGTCCTACAGTGACATTTCTTTTACATTAAATATTGAAATAAGCACAATTTTCAGTTGATTTTCTACGACAGCAAATGATATCACAGAGAAAAACTGACCCCAGTGAAGAGGCACCCTGCTGTGGAAACAGTTACACCCCGTAAAAGGTTGCCAGCCGTTCCTTCAGTGGCATCGGGAACTGATCTGAGAATCGCCTCCAGTTGTCCTCTCCCACCTGGTTCTTAAACCCGTGAAGGATCTGAAATCAAACACCGGGAGAAGTTCATACCAAGTTATAACGGAGCGCTGCATTTCAAAATAGATCTTGTGCATGGCAGGGTTATTAAGAGTGTCAACTGTAGAGGCTGCCGATCCTCCACTGGGGGGCAGATAAGTGAAAGAATAAACAAATGGATGAAGACATTAGTGAGTCTTCTTCTCGAACCATGAAGTGCTTTGTATCTCAATTTTATTTAAAAAAAAAAAAAACATTTTCAGCAGTCATTTGAATTATTTATTCAGCTTTTACCTTGTAGAACATGTCTCTGAGATCATCCTTTGGATTTACCCAGGAGGCCACTGCGTCACAGAAGAATATAAAATCCTGTTCCAGAGAAGAGAGGTGAGGCAACATTTCAACTTCCAGACCCATCAACAACATAATGACCATCTTACTGCTGCATCTCACCTGCACTACACCTCCCGGATTTACACTGATCATAGTGCAAATTCCTCTGAACGCAGAGTCTTTCTCCTCATTGTCTCTTATATTTCGTAGAGAGGTGCACCTGACAACAGGGACAGCCGAATTTAACAGGAGACACATCACGAGTCCTCAGGTAACAACTTTAGAAACGTGAATAAATCTGCTAACAACTGTCACTATGAATGACTAACACTAACACCTATATATGAATCAATAAACTAACATTATATGGGTGAGAAATTAACAAATATACCATATTTACATCCTACAAATGTAATGTTAATGTGTTATCTTATCATGATCAATACTTGTCTTCCTAATCAGTATATACATATCATACTCTATGTATACATCCATGTGAGGAGATAATAGTGTCTATCATGACCTGAGATAACAAGTCAAGCATGCACACAAAACAGATTAAAATAAAACAAATCAAACATTTTTCTTTTACTTTTAAACACAACTACTCTGAGCTCTTTTAACTTCACTTTTGTCTGAGCAGTGTGTTCAGCAAAACCTCATCTTATAGCACCTTGACAATAACATTACTTTTTTCGACAGATTGACTAGAGAAGGTCATTGGGGTCATTTTGGGACAGGCACATGCAGCTGGGTGACTACTAAATGAGAAAGGGATTGAGGAATGCTCTTTTGCAGCAAAGACTGCATCCTTTCTCTGTTGTTGAACCAGCAGGCATGTGACAAAATCTGATCCCATGCATCTTTTAGGTTGTTAGCGACAGTTAACAATGACAAAAAACTAGAAATTAAACAAATTAATGTATAATACATGAAGGTGCTACTGAGGCAAAAAACAAATCACAAGTAGGACCTAAAAGAGGACAGGGTTAGTCACATGGTTGGCAATGATTACAAACTGATAAGAAAAAAAAAACAAAAAAGAAAAAAACAACTGAAAAGACTTCATCTGAGAAGGAAAGTGAGAAGTGAGGAGAGGAGGAGAGCAACAGGGGAGAAGAAAGGGAGCAACAGGAGACAGATGAGAAGATAGGAAGAAAGCAGAGAGAAGATGAATTAAATAAAAGATTGAATAATACACACCAGGGTCTTATAAACTGCTGTAGCATGGGTGCCACCTCTTGAGGACAAACGTAACCAAGACGACCAATTGTTATTGCTAAGGTAACGCAATCACGGTTACACACCACCAAACGCCAACCAAGACATGAGCAATGAGGAGGGGAGGAGAAAAATAAAGAAAAAACAAACAACTCAGAGACATAAATCAACAGAATCTGTGTATGATAATAAACAGAAGATTTCACTAGTGTTGATTATTACTGCCCCGTCAATCATGGGGAGGAATGTAAAATATGACACTCTAAAAAAACATACAACACGTTTAAGGGAGAACACATTGACAACTTTGACAGGACATTCATAGAAAAAAGGCAAACAATGGCATCTGCTTTCAGAAATCATACGGCTCAAACAGCTGCTCAAATCTACTATGAGACTGATTGAAATTCATTAGCTTGATTTATAGGTCTCAATGTTAAGACACAGGCTAGCTAAAGTGCAGCATGTGTATGTGACTGGCCTAAACAAGAGCAGTTCACTTGGGTTTTTTCAGAGATTTCTCCCTTAAACTCACAAATGTTAATTTTCCATAAGAAACATAAATGTGTTTTTTTTTTTTTTTTTGTTCTTTTGAAAAGAAATGACAGATTACTCCAAGCCAACTACATGGAGGGAGACTAGTATCCAGCACAGCAGGTTCTTATGAGGCAGAGAGGAGGGAGGACCTAAGTTTAAGAGACACAAAACTATGCAACATTCTCATTAACAAACAGGCATTTATGAACAGTCCAATGACACATGCAGAAAGCAGATGGTATGCTCATTAGAGTAAAGTTCAGTGCAGGATCATCTGATCGGAGACAAAATGAAAAGTGCTGATGCGCACTCTCCAAGAATTTACTGCCATACCCACCTTTAACTGTGGCGTTACATGGCTGTCTATTTTAAAAACAAGTTCCACTGATAAACTGGTTGTCTTAGAAATCTCTAAGACAGACATCAGATTTACACACGGCCGAAACATCCGGATTGGGGTCATTCATTTGTATCTTTCTGGTTCACGTGTTTTCAATTTTTACATTGAAAACATGCAACAACTGGTGAAAACATTCACAGGTATGATGCAAACATTAATAGGTTCGTATGAAACTAGACTGGCATCACACAGTTGTTTGGATTATCATGTATCCTGCATCAAACATTGGCCATTCTTAACAACATTTAACATCTATTGGCAGATATGCATCCACATTTAAAGAACAGTAAATAAAAGCAACAAATAAACTGACAGCAAACAAACAGGAACACATCTACAGAGTCCCTAGTTTTTCTTTTAATTTTGGGAGGTTACACTTCACCCTTGCATGCATCTTTTTGACGACAGGCTCTCTGACTCATCACGTTATAATTTCCAATTCAACTAGTAAACCCAAGAGCAGAGTGTAACCTTTTTCTTTGAAGAATGCTCTAGGTTAGGTGCCCTAAATTTAGTCAGTTTAAGTGTATTCTCAATCATTCATGAGTAGTTATTGTTTAAGTGTTCAGTAAATATGTCTGTGTCTTGTGGTAACAGTTAACTATGTGAGGCTGTGAACTCACCTATCTATCTCACACACTGCCTGTGCTTTGCATTTTGTTGTTACAATAATATTCTACCTCACCTGATGGTGACAGTCAGTCCACATTAGTTAATTCCAAGAGTGGGCACTTACATGGTTCGCTTTATTCAAGATTGTCAAGAATCTCACACCAGGGCCCAGCCCTGTGTTTCATTGTCTTTTATCTCCATTTGCAAGCCGTGCTGCCAGGCTGCAAATCAGTGGAAGAAATTTTTTACATACTTTGGAGAAACCAGCGAAACCTGTAAGGCTCACGGCTTGGGAATGTTTTTGGACAGAGATTAAAGGGCAGGACAGGCACTCTAGTTAGTGTGGTGAATCCTGGCTGAATGGACCTGAGTGTGTGAGCACCTCCCTGTGTGTGTGTGGCCACCTGGCTGGCTGGCTCAGCACTGCCACCGAGTGGTACCTGTATTCTCCAGTAGAGTCTTTGGGGTGTTGGGCCTGTTAATGATCTCCACCAGCTGGTGCAGCACCATGGCAATGTACGGCTGCATTTCAGGCCCTGAGGGTGTAGGAGGAACAAGAAATGTCAGAAGGAAATCTGTTGAATATATAGTGTAAATCACATATTTTGAAAATGTGTTAAAAGTGAGGCACTCACCCATTTGTATAGATATCTCTCCAATTGCCCATGTTGCATTGTTGCACACTGATATTAACTCTGGGTTTAAATTAGTACCCAGTATGGGCATAAAATCAGCTGGAAGAGGGAAAGTGAGTCAACTTAGCAACAGACTAACAACTTATTGCGAAACACTGTCTGAGAGTGAACTGCACAGAACATACCGATGCATGGTTTGACATGCTGGAAACAAGCCTTGGTCAGATCCCCCAGCAGAGCAAACGAACTCTGACGAACTTCAGGCATTTTGTCCTGAACAGTTGGAGAAAGAACAACAACAGGTGAACAATGCAAGTGACTTTATCCGTTTACTTTATCAGACAAGGGACATGTGATAGATGGATTAGCAGTGTTTCCCACACAATTAGATTCTATTTGTGGTGGTATCTGACAGGGCGTGGAGGGGACTATCTTAAATGAATGTAACATAATACTGTATATAAGAGGCTTCACAGAAAATATTTTAACAGCCAAGTACTTTGTGACAAATAAATAACTGAATATATACAGCTGAATTGCTGTTGTGCCAAAAAAATAACAACCCAATGGATGACTACAAATTGTGATTGGCCAGTGAGCCTAGTGCCATCACATGGAAGCAGCACGCTCTGCTCATCCCAATGACACACACACACACACACACACACACACACACACACACACACACACACACACACACAGACACAGACACAGAGAGAGAGAGAGGGCCAGTAAAGATGTGGACAGGGACGGTAAAAACTTTATGGATTTTTTTTATGGCCCACCAGCTGCCGATTTTTCCTGGTGCTTCCGATGGCCAGTCTGACTATGACAGACGAGTCTGTTATCAATGTGTTTGTGTGAGAGGGCGAGCGAGCGGGGGGGGGGGGGGGGGAAAGGGGGCGGGGGGGGGGGGGGGGCAACGAGGCTGAGCAGTGTGGCGGTCAATGTTGAAATTGTGGCGGGCTGCCACAAATTAATCATGTATTAATAATGTATGGGAAACACTGACTTTGACTGAGCTCTTCACCTGCATGCACTGGTACATGAGAGTGAGGATGTTGCTACGAGCAACCAGCTGCTCAATGGTGCCTCCCAAACCCTCAGCCAGTCCACTGAGAAGATCCAAAGCCACGATCATGAAGTCTTTGTCAGGGGCCTCATACTGGTCTGGCTGTGACTGGTGAAGCTGGAAGAGTGAAGGATGACAGTACAGAGGGTAAGAGTTACCATTAAATTAACATGACTAACTACTGGATGATCAAGTTGTTATGAAGTTATGGAGTCGGTTCTCTATCCTGAGACTAAATTTTCCCTTTAAAAGTTGTGGCGATTAAACATGTAGTTAACCTGCACATTGAGCATTCATTAATTCAATTTTTCTCCACTAGGGGGCAGTGCAACAAACAATAAACATTGACCTATTCTTACCTTACAAAGATGATATGATGAACATGTAAGCAAACAATTTCCAATACACACATCCAGCAGACACAGAGCAGCATTAGCATTCATTTGTAGTCATGCTCGTGTCCACCTGACCTGATCACAGTTATTTGATCCATTGTTAAAGCTGCTCTAATGAATATTGCATTAAGTTTAACCTGGTTGTGTGGAAGGTAGAGTCAAAGACTTTCCTCTTTTGCATCTACATATAATAATAAAATGTAGGGTGAGAGTGTGTGTATGTTTGCACATTTGAGGGTCCTACACTCACCATGGCCTGAGCGAGTGTCTTCTGGACTAGGTTGACACAGCGTTGGTACACAGGCTCACAGTAGGGCAGGAAGCCACTCTGCAGGGCTGTGGCTACTGACGACAGACACTGACAAAAGCAGGCAGGTTGGGAGGGAATATACAGTCAGTGACCTGATGTTTTCATCATAGAACTTGGACTAACATCACTGACGCACGCAGTAACCGCACATTAGACACTCACTTCTAATAAAGGGAAGAGATCTTTGTCTTCATCTTTCAACTGGTTCCATTTCTGGATTAGTGGAGGCATCAACATCTGGATATACTCCTAATACATGACACAGACACAGTATGCAAATAATGAGTGAAGATAATTACATACATTGATGCATCCATTCAATGACTGTAACATCTGATACACTTACCACAACCAACACTACAAAAGTAAAATGAGGAAGATGGAGTAGTCTGTGCTAATTTTAGAAATGTGAAGTGAAACAGAGTCCACATTTCTGTTCTGCATACCGGTTTGTTCAGATGGTGTCCCACTGAGTCTGCCAGAGTTCCTATGGCGTCGTAAAGAATTAGCAGATTTTTGTGCTGGTACTTGCTGAAAGCGAACACCAGTGTGTCCAGGATGAACGCCAGGTAGGGCACCAGCTCTGTGCAAGCCTCCTCCTCCAGAGTGGCAAAGGCACTGGTCAGGAGAGATTAAAAGGAAACATTGTACACCAACTCCAGATGAAGCGCAGAGTTCCTAATGTGCTGTAAAATGACATGGCTTTACCTGCAAGCGGCCTCCTGCACACGCTTGTTGCTATCCAGAATACGTTTGAGCAGCTCCGTCATTAGGGGCTTCAGGTAAATATCTGGGGGCTGGCTGACAACCCAGTGGGCATAGCGGCTCAGTGTCCAGCAGGTGATTGAACGCACCAGGGCCTTCTTGTCAGACAAACACTGGATGAGATGGGGAATGAGCTCAGGCAGATATGGGATCATGCCCTGCATGCAGCCTGTAAACAGGGATAAAAACCGTGTCAACTCTAGCAGCCATTTCCTCTGATTCCAAATTCTGAGGAGGACCTTACTCCCAATGCTTTGTCCCCACTTTTTCCTTCATCTTTCTCTTTCTCTTCTTACCTTCAGCGATAGCCCCCAGCACAAGGATGCCAGACTCTTTAACTACCCACTCTGGATGGAAGAGCAACTCTTTGAGAAGGGGCAGAATGTGCAGCAGCAGATCATCCCTGAACACGTTGGCCAACACGTCCAACGCTGCTGCTGAGCACTTACCTAACATTTGGAGAAAAGAAGAGAGACATACAGACAAACACAGAAGTGTGCAGACAAACACACAGACATCACAGGTACCGTACACACAAACACAAAACAAGCAGTCAATACACTTATCGTTTCCTGGCTCTCAATAAAGAGAAAGGGAGACAAAAGTTGGAGAGAGATCTAGATGTTTCCATGTGCACAGGCACTGAACTCACGCAGGTTCCAATCAGAGATAGTATCATCATCATCCAGTTCATCATCCTCATCTTCCTCTTCCTCGATCCCATCGCCCTCATGCTGCTGGGCAACTGTGCGCGATCGGTGGAAGCGTGGTCTGATGTCTTGCTCATTGTCGGGAATGGCCTCGTCTTCCTCAATGTCGCCCTGATGAATGTGCGGGATGAAAGAGGTGTATGATGCAACCACATTAGTTTTGCTTGGACAACAACAGTGCATTATTTGTGTATGAAAGAAATTATCGCCATCAGAATGAAAGTTCAGTCTGAATCAAGTCGGATTTTCCATTGCAGTCATATTTGTAACCACATCAACTTCTACAAATGTTTGTGGTAAAATGTATAAATCCCACATGTATTTGTACACAACACAGTCACATAAACCACTTCATTGAACGGCGTGACATCCTGAGTCATGGTTCAATTCATCGTCTTATCTACAGGTACAAATAACAGGCTGCACAAACTGACCTTGAGCAGGATAATGTCAATCTCAGAGTACTTCATCCCGTTGACAAGAACCGGAGTGAGCCTGGAGCGGAAATCGGAGGAAAAATTATGAGAACAAAGGGCAAGGATAGGTCAGGGCCCACAAGAAATCACTCACACCTGATTCCTGCTGTGGGCACAGTTTCATGTGACAGTGTGGTGACAGATGTTATGGCTGAGGTCAACAGCCAGGGTTCTTAATCAGCTGTCCCGAGGTGAAGAAGAAGAATATCAACCTATGACAAGGTCCTCAGTAACTTACTGCCAAGGTTGTTATGAATCAACAGCTCTCAATATTAGCACTAGAGTGTCAGTCTGTTTATTGTGTGTGTGTGTGTGTGTGTGTGTGTGTGTGTGTGTGTGTGTGTATTCTTACTGGGAGAGGTGTCCACACAGCACTTCCTTACACACCGGCTGCTCCGCCAGAGTAAGCCAGAACTCACAGGCCTCCAAGGCAACATTTTCATCTTGGTCCTGAGTCCTCTGTAGCATGTACTTGGATGATTAAGAGAAATGTAACATTAGATACTGTACGTTACACTTTTATGTTAATCTTATACACAAAATGGAATATTTCAGTCTAAAAGTACAAATGCAACAACATCTGCAGCCCAACTGCAACACAAATACCACACCTGTCCACAGGGCATCATCAGGACTGTATCATTAAAGGATTGGTTGTTTTTGTCAACAAATGCCATAAAAATGTGTCAAAAATATATAATTTCATTTTATTTTTAAAAGGCTAAATAATTTACTACAACAGCTGGGCAATATAGGTTTTTGAAAGAACATATTCTTTAACAGTGTTTAAAGGTCTATGGTGCAGAGGACAAAGCAATCAGGGGTTGCATAGACAGACAACATGAGTACAAAGGATCAATTCATTTTCATTAGTCTTTTATAAGAATTGTTGACAATAAGAAAAATATAAAAATATTCTAAATTAAATAAGAAAGTGTGACTTATCCTTAAACTACATCTAATTCTTTTCCTTTACACCAGTGTTTAACTGGGCCTCGCTCTTATTTCCTCCCCAGCTTCACTCACCTCTATGATGTTATGCATGTGTGGCAGGAGACGGTCCAGGCGAACTTCCAGCAGCATGACTAGAGCTCTGCACACATTCTTCCTCACTTCTGGTTCGTCATCTGTTGCCAGAGCAAACAGGTTCTACAGGAGGACAGAAAGGGTCCAGGGTCAAATGTCTTGAGTGTGTGTGAAACAACTACTACCACAACCACTACTTAAAATAATAATTGTACATCATGCGAGCTCCTGAACAAACATGAATGGGGTGGGACCAAGTCCATGCAGTAACAGGTCCCATTGTATTCTCTTGTGATATAAATACACTGGTACCAATCTCGTGTCAAGGTTTTATTTATTGCTGGCTTTTTAATGTACATTGTATGTTTTATGGCAGTTTGTTCGGTTTAATCTAGATTCAAGTTTCCATTTGTCATTATTGCAGACATCTTATCTCTGTAGCTGCTCCGCTATTCTACATTTGCCACTTTATTACTGCTTGACATTTTAAGAATGGAACATTTTTACATGTTGCTATAAAAAGCACCAAAACTTTAGATGTTTTGTTACACACTTTATGACAATATTTCAACAGAGGTTCATGCAATGAAGAAATATAATCTAATTGTGCTTCTTGCTTTTCAAAAAATAGATTTATTTTGCTGTTTTAAAGGCGTTTACTCTTTTAAATCTCTTATGGAGATTAGTCAGACAAGCCTTTTGTTCCTTGTTATCTCTTCTTCCCACCTCTAAATATGAAAAATATATCCAGCAATAAAAGCAATTAAAAAGAAGTAAGAATGATAAAAACTGATTGAAATAGCCAAAATTTGAAGACTTCATAAAATCAGCAGTAAAACCAAATCACGACTTCAGCCTTTTCATGAGGGAAGTTAAATTTTAACAAGGGATTCAGAAAAAAGCTACACAATGTGCCGCCATGATTTAACATTAGGGTTGGAACAGACACAGAGCGGCTTTATAAAGTAACAAGCTCAGAGGTAAACCTCAGACAAAATCTCGCCGCAGTAGCTATTATTTGCTGAAGCAGGAAGAGGAACAGTTTGTCTACATGATAATTGTGTACAGATGGCAATGCGTAACAGTCAGACTTGCCTCAATGAAAGGGTCGATGTGCAGCATAAGAGCCTGGGTCCTGCTGATGATGAACTGATTGACGCAGGCAATGGCATGAGACCTGCAACACAATAACCATCACATAAGAGTCACACCAGCGTGTTTACCTCACATGTTGCACGCTATGAATACAGCCTCTGTTTTTCTTCTTTGCCCCATTGCCACTAATTTAACCTCCAAATATGAGTAAGTCTTTTATACAGTCAACAGACATGCTGCATTAAAACAGACTGAGACTTTGACTGTACTGTACTGTACATTTACATAGACCTTTAGTCTGTCTTCTACATATAGCGTATGTGTGTGATTAAATTATTAAATTATTAAGTTAAGTTGGGTGCCAGATCATTTTGTGTGATCAACTGATAATCATGCATCATCAAAGCCATAAATTTAATCAATGAAAAAGAACGAACCTCCCCTGTTAAGTTCAACAAGCATGATTAGCAGATAATTACAGTTAATAGAAACGGAAAGTATAAGGAGGAACTTTGTACCTAATCTTAGGACTGCTGTGTTTGAAAAACTGTAAGAACTTGGGGATCATGATGTTAAGAGGACGATCCAGCATGTCACTGTCCAGGATCTCAGCAGAGTCTTCACAGATCTTCTGCAGGGCTCCAAACGCTCCCTGAGGGATGAGCAAAGACAACAAAGAAAGTGATGAGAATTACACCGTCCAGACAAATTCTAAGACAGGATTTCACAACTATCAGACAGTTATTCCCCAGCTACTAAGATGCTATGGCTACATTACATTACTTTTACTCCTTTGGCAGATTCTTATATCCAAAGCGATACGTGAGGAACACCACTAGAGCTTCAGTTCAGTGGGAGACCTTGGCGTAAGTACTGAGTACTAAATCTATTCAATCAGTGCAAGGAGACTTAATAATAATAATTATAATAAGTGACATAAGTGATTACTGAAAGGAATTTATCTCACATGAAGTCCCCACAATGCTGTGGAGGTTGACTGAATTTAGATTTCCATTTACCTTTTTTGTTTTGTGCCGACATCCTGTTGTATTTTGCCGTACATTCCAAAAGTATTTTAAATATATGTTCATATTTATTTGCTCTGTAGTGAACAAATGTCATATAAGCATTTATATAAAATATGCACAGGTCATATAAAATGTTACAACGATTGTATAAAAAAATGTGTTCAGCCTGCCAATCCTCTCCTGCTCTAATAACCTTCAAACAGTCAGACTTATCCAAAGACCAGCGCGCGCACACACACACACACACACACACACACACACACACACACACACACACACACACACACACACACACACACACACACACACACACACACACACACACACACACACACACCTCTTCCTTAATACTAGCTGCTTGACGGATGGTTAGTATGCATGCTCACGATATGCTGCAGACTCCAGTGTGTCTCACAAAAATGCAGTGTGAAGAGCAGATACAAGAAACAGCACAGCAACTGACACTGACGCCGTCTGAAATGTGTTTCCATGGAAACTGTTCCCATGTCGGCATTGCTTTCAGATGACAGATACAGAATGGTTTCAGAAAAATGTGGAGGAGGGTAAGGGATGAAATAAGACGAGGAAGGTTAAAGCTGATACTGTGTCAAGGTCACAAACAGGAGAAGACACAGTGTAATTAACTTGATTAAAATGATTTTCCCTCTGAAGTTCAGATTGCTCACTTGCAGGAGAACAGCCAGTTTAAATGAACAAGAAAATAAAATAACTGTTCCAGAGCCAGCACAGGTGATTTCATTTCATGTTTGGAATGACAAAAATGTATTTGAGACTTGCTGGTGTTGAAGCTCTGAAATAAAGAAGTACCAGATTTAAATTTGATGAAGCTGAGTGGCACAATAATTCCAGATTAGGCTGAATGAATTGTTTTGTGGAAGTTGAACTACAATTTAAATCCATTACTCAACTGACGCAACTATTTTGAAATGATTGAGTAATTTTTCAAGCAAAACTGAAAAATAACATGCATTTTAGCTGCTAAAATTTTCTCCGTTTTATACCGTTGTATACTGAATAATTGTCAGGAAAAATAATCATAAGATTAATTGATAGTTAATCATATATATGGTAGCAGCTTTAAATCTTCCAAATAATACAAGAACAAATCCAGTCGTTTCATACCAAACAGAATGCTATAATAGTTGCTTAATTTTGTCAAATTAATGAATGAATAATGACAACTCAGCAATTCAACATCAGATTTGGGTTCTGGAGACACTGTAAAGTACTTAAAGCAGCTCCATTCTAACTGAGCCCATGTGCAAACGTGAGGAGCAGGACAGAGCACCGCTCCCACTGACGTCAAAATGTAATATAGGTGTTTGTGTGAGTGAGTGTCAACAGAGAAGGGCAAAGAAATGGGAGTGGCCTTCAGACATTCCAGTGACGCCGAAGCGTCTGAAGTGTAATCCTCCCTTAAAGTCCTGCTATGGACGGTCATTAAACGGGAGAATGTAAGTCACGCAGATGACAGCGAGCCAGGGCAAAGAGAGGTATGTATTTAGTCAACTAAACAGCCCCTTAAGACTCCTGCTCTGGAAGCTTGAATTACGTTACTGTTCACATGAGCACTGAGGTGGTAAAGCATTTTCATACATGATCATTTACCCTTTGGAGTAGCATCAAACTTGACCCTCACAACACCATCGCAACCACTTTCCAAATGCCATTAATCAAAACAGTAAAACTGCTCTCGGGCAAAACCTATATAAAGCCACCCACCAACACTGCACTTGGCATCCAACACACCTGCTCATGTCTTTTTATAGAGTATGCAGAGAGGGGTACAGTGTGGTGGCACAGGGTTCTTCCTACAACTGCTGATCTTTGACCACAAACAAGACAAGACGAGCCACAACATTAAAACCAGTTACTGGTTTTCATGGGTGTATGGTACAGCTGCATCATGTCACCAAGGCACTGAATATTTTGTTGTATATACTGATAAAAAATAAGCAAATGAAATACCTCAACTTCAGATAACACATTGCTCAAGGCTCACAGCTACACACCACCATTACACCATGTATCCAACCGTCTTTTTCCACCCAACATCAGTAGACATTATGGCTCAGTGTGAGACTGCTCTGCACTCATATGGGGAGGGTAATTCAGGATCATCAGGAGGATCATCTTACATAAATATAGATAAACTATAAATGCATAACACAGAAGACATTTAGGCGGGTCAAAAGGCCTGAGGCCAACGCATCGCAACACTTTTCTCATTGCTTAGATTACAAAATGCACATGGCTCCAAAACCGTACACTGGCAGCCACTAAAAATATCCCCAAAATAGATATCAATGTCCAGCTGGCAGTAATGGTGTAGATTATGTACGGCAATATTATGTCTCAACGGCAATAGTCAACACCTTCAAAGATTTGTTTGGCACACTGAAGGTATTAGCTGTGTGTGGTACATGAACAACGTCTGCTGTAGAGTTAGCAACATTCATTCAGTTGAGACAGACATTCAGTTTAGCTTTTCTGAATAAAATATGTTTAAACAAGAATAACCAACTACAACTAGTTACTTCAGGAAGCCGTCCAGAGGGGGTTATTTTCACCAAACAAAGAATATACAGTTATGGCTAACAGGACATGCATTTTAATTGACATCATCGTGTGAGACCAAACAGAAGGAATGGTTTGAAAAAATTAAGTAAATGAACTACTCTGTATTGGGTTTGATAATGTAAGGGTTGGCATGTGGGTTATTATAGAAAATAGCACATGTTCACACATATCCACAGAACCGGGATGAAACTGTCTATTGCCCCTACATCTCGAATTCAAGTGTCACCTAATCCAAGTGTAATAGCTGAAATTAAATTGTGAAGTATCATTATTGCCATTGGCATTAGTGGGAAAATTTGCCTTGGAAAGAAAAGACTAGTCACAACACTGGTGACCTTTACTGTTCTATCTCAATGACACTCAACATAAACATGCCACAAATTTTAAACTTCATAATGATTAACCAACAATAATAAAGCATTTTAAATGTATTTTTCCACCTTTATGCACAAGATTAGTAGATACTTTTTTTTCATCCAGCACCAAGTTAACCATCTTCAACATCAGACGCTAAGAAGCTTTCCAGCCTCCAAGCTGCTTTTCAAAAACATACTGAGTCTTATGAGGAGTTGCTACGTTTGGTCACTGTCCAGTGTTAAGCCTTGCACACACACACACACACACACACACATACACTTCAGGATCCTCCGCAGTAAATAGCTGACCTAAATCTCAGCTTCTGAATGAGCTTTATAAGAGAGGCGGGCTGTGGTGCTACAAAGAGAGGCCATTTTTTTTCTGTCACACCACTTCTTTAAATTTCAGATGATCATATTCCCGCTCTATGCAGTGATGGGTAATCCTGCGAGAACACATTTCAAATGCCCTTCAACACAGCTGAGCATTACAGTTTAACATGCTACTTCATTTGTACATCCTCTCCTATATAAGGTATCTGCCTTCTCTGTAGTGGCTGATGTCACAGGCACATGCATCTGGCACCATATTAACTACCCGGGTGTTTATGTGAGTCTAAGTGTGGGTGCGGCACCATTACACAGATCAACTGATCCAACATCCTCTGCAGGCTACTGAATTATAATTTTAGTGGTCACTGCAATGGAGCATTTCAATGGAGTAACTGTAGAAGAGCTGATATCATCAAGAACTAATGACATTAAGTATTCTGCTGGATGCCCTCAAGGACTGATGATGTTATACTGTAAGGCAATCAGGGAAAGTAAAGATATTCATCGAAATACAAAGAACTGGATAATAAGGGAGTATAGAGAAAAACAGAACAACACTACGTTGTTTTAGCTAATGTGCACATTAAAAAAAAAAGCTTTTCTGGGTTTCTGGGTGACGTGTGCCAAGTCAGAAAATGGGGTCATATGGTTTGCTGGTAAAAAGGATAAAAAGAGAATAAATAATTCCGTGTTGAATAATCTGTAGTTGTGGCTGGAGCTCCAGCTGTGAGACTGCCTTTAGTTCATCTGGCCAGCAGGATGCTATCCAGATGCTGCTTTATAGCTGACCCAGCTCTCTTCCCTTCCCCACAATAAATAAACAAACAAATCAACAGACATGCAGCACTGTTTGCCTGAACAGGTTTACTTATAGCAGAAGTTTGCCATAACATATGATCACAAATGTGTGTATGTAATCTCTGCCTCTCTTTCCCTCATACACGCACACACAAACACACACACACACACTCGCACAAACAGCTTAGAAAAAGAGCTGACACCTATTTTTCCCAATTTCTTATGAGCTGACTGTGCACAGTGAGTCGAGATGAGGAATTTAGAAGAACTACTGTAATATTTAAAAAACCCAAGTATCAACAAGTCCCAGTAATAAAGAAATTACAGTGTAATCACTAAAAGATTCTGCCATATAGATACTGGTTTGACCAATCCCACTGTATTTCATTTTTGGGTCTAATGTTTAAGGAAGTATCCTAATATTACAAACATGTTGATTTGATTTGTACATAAACACATTACACTACAGTGTAAATGATCAATATCAACGTCTTGTATGCCATAGACAACCAATACTGTCTATACAAGATGGTTAACATAAAAAATAAAATAAAAATACTGCCACTCACTGTAGGCTCTGACGGATGAGCAGAAACATCAGATCCCACAATCACAAGATCCAACCTGTGTTCATCCTCACCTCACATGTGTTGTAGTCCTCAGAGTCCAGCAGCTGGCAGAGCTTAGGCAGAAGCTCCGGCCAGTTTTGTAGCTCTCCTTTGGAGGCGATTGTGGTGATGAGGATACCTGTTACAAGAAGGATTTACTGTTAGTTACACTGGTGTGACAAAAGTACAAAGAATACACAGACACTGCAGTGTCATGCATTCTCAAATCATATCATTTTGACACAACACACTTATTTACAATTCATCAGTTAGCATCGTAAGTATAACTAAATAGTTAATGTAGAAATTAACTATATTTATTTAACATTATCTTGAAATTATGAACTGTAACTTTTATTGGCATCCTCACTTTCCTTTAACCTGCTTTGACTGTCATCTACTACGAACACTGACCAGTTTTGACATTTCCCCAAATAACATGTGAAGCTCTTGTATTTAGCAGTAGGTTCAATGTAACAGTATGTTTAAGCAAATATACACCACCAGGGAACTGCACAGGAAAAATAATAACAAGGTAAGCACAGAACTAGTGTGGATATTTTTCTTTATAAGTTATAAACAAGCAAGCTGTGGCAGCTCGCAATCTTATGATGAACGATCTCTTCCTCCAGCATCTTAAAGAAAGATGCAACTTACCCACAGTGGCACGGATAAGGGGAGAAGAGTCTCCAATGTTTTGGAGGCACTCGCTCTTGATGAAATCAGACACACCATTAGGGAAGTTCTGATAGTGGGCTTTCACATTGTTCTTCAGTATCAGCCCACTCAGGGACCGCGTCGGTTCGTCTTGGAGGGTGGAGAAAAGACAACGGAATGTTAACTCTTAAAATAACACTTTATTTGAGCACAATTACACTGGTGGAGTCAGGTTAAAGTGTTGTAAATGTTGGTGACTCAAGTCATTCAACTGTTCACAGGATTTTACTGCCTTCACATTCCTTATCATGAAACCCAACATGATTCACACAAGCAGCAGAACATACACTATAACCTGTTTCAATTGTGTGAAACAAAGTGCAAAGTGCTAAACACAAAGATACTAGTTAGCAAATGACGGACAGGAGCAAGTTCTATTTGTATGAAACGATGGCTACACTTTCGGAATTACTCATCCTCTTGCTTCTGAATATTTGCTGCTTGTTGCATCTGAACTATGAGAAATAGTCGAACAGTATCCTAAAATGTCTTAACACTGCTTAACATTTGGGTCATCTACTGTGCAGACTGTCAAGCCAAGAGTTGAGTGGTGCCAGGAATTAGGTTTAAAATTAGAGTGACCCATATTCTGAGTGCCACATCATCTGTGGCAAAGATGCCATCAGGTCAGCCGAGTCATGGTTAGACAGACCTGTCACTGAGCGGTTACATAAAAATGACATGTCTAACGTTCACACCACCGACTACCATCAGATGATCTAGGAACACAGTGCAGATACAACAAACTCACACAGACAGACAGAGAGCTTACCTTCTGATTTTAACTTGGTCAAAACAAATATTAAATAGTTGTTAAAGTCTGGATACTGGTTCAGCTGCTCAAGTCTCTGGGGAAAGTGGTTGAGGAAGACAAGGTGCTCACTGTACAGACAGCATGTTAAACGGTTGTGAGCACATTACCACCGCAATCTGTAGCCTGGTAATAATGCCAAAAACTGATGTTCTTTTTCAGCTGAAGAAATGTAGTAAGAGCAGGTGTTTATCTGGCCTAGTGCTGGTGTAATGTAACAGGATAATGGCATTTGTGTGAAGGGACTGGGTGTATGTTTATAGGGGGTCATAAATATGTCATTTGACATGACCAAATACTGAATCCACCCAGCCAGATGGCATATTTAGGGCTGTAACAGTGGCTCGTCTGAGTTAATGATGCAGTGCATATGAAGTGTTACATAAGCAAATCATTTAGGATCAGCATGCAACCACATAAAAAAACATAAGGGCCAGCAGCATGGAGCAGTGGGTAATAATTGGTCTCTAATGCAAAAGTATGTGGCGATTTGTAGGAAATGCCGTGGCACATTTGCATCTGACACAAGATATATGACAGATTTATAATGTAATTTCCATTTTATACAGCTATAACTACAAAACCACATATTTTTCAGCCAGCTTTTTTATTCCCCTATTTGCCAGCCCAACTGTATTTCATTTCATGTCTCGACTCTCGGTCTAATGCCTGCCAAGTAATCTGGTTTGGGGGTCATCATAGCTGTATGTCAAACATGTTTGATTTTAAGGATTTGAGTGTGGTTCAAATCCTGACAGCCCTCTGTAAAGTTAGACAAAGCAAATGTGATGGTTTAATACTAATTACGTTAGTTTCTTCAGATTCAGATTTCATCTGCAATCTGTTCTTTTCATAGTACAGATCCTTTGTCTGGTTTTTATTGTCCTGTCACAAGAGAACTGTAAATTTTACATGCTGATGCATTTATCATACATATTTACATACATGTTTGTGTTACATCATGGCATTTCTTTTAGCAACTAATTATGTTTACAGTTTAAGATGATTATAATGCAAATAGGCAGTCACTCATTGGATATATGGGGTTACATTTTTTGTCCTCATTAATACAATTATCATTACACCAGTAAGACAAAATACATGATATTATTTAAACATCTCACATTTCATCTAATAATCCAGATTATAAATTAAACTGAACACTTTGCCCAGTGTTATTTGCAGATCAGGTTGTGGGTGATATACAGGGGTGTTGCAGGAATTAGCTGTTGACTTCATATTTTCTGCTAGACAATAATGCGAGGTGAGGGCATACAGGGAGGCGACTGACGGCTGGATCAAACCTACATGCGACGTTTACTTGAGCGTAGTTATCCGTTATATTAACCCGACATAATACACCGATCTACAGTGTTACAAATGCCCGGACACTCAGCACGGCACGGCCCGCTTTGCTAGTAGCACGCTGAGCTTATTAGAAACAAAAAGCACCAACCGGTCAGCACCTGCGTACCTGCTTATAACGGTAACCAACCGGCTAGTATTAGCTATCGCTAGCCTGTTGAGTCTGACAGTATTAAGCACGAACAAGTATCAAAACATACGTTGACACCCATATCTGGCTTAGGAAAGGATACTTGCTGGACGGATCTCTGTGTGGACGTATCTGGCGACTGAGACTCCTTGAGCAGCTGTAAAATTTGTTGAAGTCCTTGCTCGTCTGGCTTCCACTCACACTCCATCTTGCTCTGCTGCTGTTGCGGATAAAGGAATAACATTAGCTAACACAGGATTTGTCATCAAACGACACTCTATTGCGTACTCCTACGAAGCGAGAAAAACGTTAACGTCACATTAGCTGGACGCATTAACTGATTTTAAGACGAAGAAACGCCTTTACCTGTTTGGACCGACGGACTCGAGTGTTGCCGACTTTCTCTTGAAATGTGACTGTCTGTCTGGGTTTTCAGACATGGGCCTGTTACAGGAGTAACATCCGTTTTTGCAACAAGCTGAAAAAGCTGCGGGCCATACAGCGTCGCGTCGCATTTAAGTGGCTGCCTCGTCAGCTGACACACGGCTGAGGGGTCCTAGTGCTAGGTTGTTTTTAGCATAACATGCCCACAAATAAGCTTACTATTTTAATTGTTTACCACCGAGCTACACCTGCAAATTATCTTTGTATGGACGCACTTTCCCCCTGTTTTCTGTCAGAGACGCTGTTGCAGTGTGAGACAGGAGGAATGGCGCGGCATAGGAGAGGTTTGGAACACAACCTTAAAATATGCCCTATTTCCGACAGCATTTGAATGCAGCATCGCGCGCCTGAAGGCCGCATGACGTCGCTGTTGTGTTCAATACTGTTGGTTTATAATTTGAGTAATTTGAGCGATATCTAGCGGTTGTTTATGCTATTTTTTCTATAAAAACAATGCTTTGCTTTGTAGAATATTATGAAAAAACACTACAAAATAAACAAATACAATTAAAGAGTTAAATAATCTCCACCGTCCTAATTCTCTGAATACATACCAGTTATACCAGTTATATACATACAGTTTCATACAATTTCATATTTGGTCCTAACAGTAGTTAGCTCATTCTTAATAACTGGAAGCAGAGAGATCCTAATCGAAAATATCCGTGAATATATAGGCTTTGACATTTTTTCCAACATATATTATTACATTGTTGTAATATAAATGCACTATATTCTATCCATTATTATCTAATCTATTATAAACGAAATGAATGTTGGTACTTTCCCATCTCAGCCTCAATTTAATTACACAAATACAACAAGCTTAATAAAATTTCTTAGTAAGTAAACTGTTAATGTAATCATAAAGACATTTTTGCAGTAATCATAAGAATTTGGTAGAAATCAGATAGATAGATAGATAGATAGATAGATAGATAGATAGATAGATAGATAGATAGATAGATAGATAGATAGATAGATAGATACCTTCTCCACTGTAAAGGACAGGAGACTTGATCCCAGTGTGGAGGGAGTTGTAGCTGCAGTGTCAGGTTGTGGAGGAGATGCCGTAGGAGAAGCTGCAGCTGAAGCAGTGGGAGAGAGAACAGGTGAGGCTGTGTCAAACCTGTTTAGACACTCACTGGCCTCCAGGGTCCAGTTCCTGAATGAGCGGGTGGTTGCAGCCTGCCTCAGTACACAGGGCTTGTAAGAAGGCTGAAGAAAAAACAGATTTTGATCTGATCTGCTAAGTGGTGGTAGAGCTGAAGCAGTGTAGGCCTCCTTGACATTTGCATACAACAGATCCAGTGTCTTATTTTCCCTTGTGCGACAGTCATATATACAACATAAGCCAAGGGCCCTTTTTTCATCTGTGCAAGTGCATCAACAAATGAAAAGTTGCTAAATATATTTTTTAAATTTGTGTTCCCTTTACATAACAAAAACAAAAAACTAAAACAGGGGTGCAGTGTTATGCTGAACATACTGGTCAGAACATTAAATTTCAAGACTGTGTAATTTCCATTTCTTTTATTTATTTATTTCATTAAATGTCTTAGTCCTTTGCACTTCTGAGCAAACTATGTTTCTTTGTGTAAGCCAGATTCAAAAAGGATTCATTATTGGCTCATATCTAAAATAGTCATATGACTGATGTTACTTTAAGTAACCACTGTTCCTATAGTGAGAAGTTTACACACATTAGACAACTTTAGCTGGCCTCATAATCAAATAATTTATGAATAATTACTGAAGTTGTCATGTTAAAACTAATTTATTTGCAAAAAGAATTAGTCTAAGTTGAATATTTTTTAAATTTCATTTATGTATTATATTTCTTATTTTATTTATTTGAAATACAGTTGTCATGTTCAACTTCTGACAGAAAAAAATATTTAAACCAAAATTAACCTTATGATATCTTCGCATCTCATTTAGAAGGAAGTAAAAAGGAACCTTTAAGCTTGACAGAAATAGCGATTAGGTTTATATTGTGATATATATCGATATTGACTGATATGAAAAACATTATCGTGATAAGATTTTTTTTCATATCGCCCAGCCCCAGCTATTCATAATATTTACCTTATCGGAAGATGTTGGAGATGCCTTTTCTCATAGAAGAGAAGAATCTGGAGATGGCGTTGCGTGGATTTGGTGATGTCAGTTGTCTTTTGAAAGAGGCAGCAATGTAGTTTGCAAGTTGTGGTTCCTGTAACTTCATGGAAATCAGAACCATCTCTGCACAGCGCCATCTCTTACAAAGGTCCTTGAAAATGGTCTTGTCGAGGTGTTGAACTGTCTCTGGGGTAATGTGGAACTTGGTGCCTTTGACTTCAGCCCATGTTTTTTCAAACAGATGTTGAATGATGACACCTGAGTCTTCAGAAAAGTTAACTTTTGCCTTTCTGAACACGCGGGTAACGAGTTTTTCCACGAGAACCCTGACAGACATTTTGTTTTTTTCTGCCTGTGCTCTTGAACCCTGCAGAGGTTCAGACTCACAAACTGAGGCAGATGCTGCCTCCTCTTGGAGCTGTAATGATGCCATTGGCTCAGTGTTCATTAAGGCAAGCGTCACCCTGCGACTGGGGCCGGCAGCCTGAGTGTTCAGCCACCAGCTAATGAGTGCTAAGAAACAAACCACTCTGCTCTGTATGTCAAGATACATGTTGGGATGGGACTGAAGTGGTCTTGGAATTATCTCTGGGGTCATGTGAGAGTGGAGCAAATCACTAAGTTCTGTTGTGAATACCAGGACTTTATCAGGTGAAAGGTCGATGAATCTCTGCAACGCCTGAACTTCATTTCCACTTGTTTGGTTTTCTCCATCTTCTGTCAGAAACAGAGAGTCAACACTAGCCATGAGTGACTCGATTGACTTTCTGCTTTTAATCTTGGTGTCCCGGTGGAATTTTGTCTTTAGTTGTGCGACTATCCGATGAAAGGATGCGCTGATAAATCTCTTGGCAAAAAAAAAAAGTTTTCATCTTTGTCTTCATTCCTCCAAAGGAGTTTTGTGGCTCTTCTTGGATTTGGGGCTTGAACTTGAACATTTTGTTTCTTTCAAATTCTCAGTCTCCTCAGTAATTGACTGAGAAATTTCAAATGCAAAACTTTGAATCCCCAGGGAAGATTCAGATTGAAGCAGCTCAAAGTCAGAGTGTGGGACTTCAACCATAAGAGGTTCTATAAGTGAACTGACCTCCTTGCTAATTATTGTATGTACGGAGGTGGTCTGGCTTCCTTTAAGTGGTGTTGATTTATGAATTCTCATTGTGGCTGCAAAAGCCTTTAACAATTGCAGGCATGACCAACCATCCTGTTAAGCGTGCGGGGTGGAGTGACATGCTGCAGTACAGGCTTCTCAGAGCACATGTCAGCGAGGAGGACAGAGTTGACACTTTCTGTAACCTCTTTCCCAATCAAGACTGACAGTCGTTCAGAGCCAATATTCTTGTCTTGCTCTTCGGTGTTCAGCGCATCTGCAAAACTTTGAGCGAGTGTACTGCCCAGACTGGACTGAATAGCCACGTCAGACAGTAATAAATTTTGTTTCTGAAGGGCTGTCAACACTGCTTTTGTTGCAAATGACATTATGTTCAGAAGCAGGTCTGCCAAAATAACCTTGATGGTAACATCAGGGGTACCGGCTTTTAATAATGCCCACTGTTCCTGTGTCATCCTTGACAGACAGGATTCAACAAATGGGCGAACAGTTTCAGATGTAATCTCCGGCATCTTCACTATGCCTGGTGATTCTCTTGAATCCATAGCAACGTTTTATGTTTTATACACTCCTTAATTTATCTTTCACGTACGGGTCTGTCAGTGGAAAACTAGCTGTAGCTACTCTGCTTCAATCGCACAAGAGCTAGCCGCTTATTTTCTGGTAGTTGTGGGCATGTCTTAACGGGGAGAGGCATTTCCAGGTGACCATCCATATTCCGTTGTATTCTTTTGTTCAGTAATTGCATGAACTGTATGTCATCTTGTGATATGCCCTTTTCCCCAGGATTTGTATCTTTGACATCGGACTCAAGGACTCTGATGACAGCGGCCAGTGTCAATGATGGAAGTTCCTTGACGGATACACGATGACACAGACCTGTCACTTCTGTTGACTTCACAATCTGAGGTGAGCTGCCAACGATGCTCCGTCCCAAATCAGTCCTGATGATATATTGCTCTTCATCCGACATGCGCCGCTCTTTACTTGGCCTTGTTGGCGTTACGTTTTCACTGTAGCTACAAGGGTTCAGCAATAATGGCCACGCTTCATACAGACGTCTTCCAACATTAATTTCTCTCCCTCTCGACAACATCAGAAGACACCGTGAAAACGCGGGTGCGCCTCTTGAACCACGTGCAGAAAAATGTCAATTTGGAGCTGTATATTCCTCCTCTGCCACCATGATGTTCTAATCCACTGCGCTGACCCACAATGCCAGTCATACACCTAGCCAAATTCTGATCATGTGACTCTTACTCTTCAAGGCAAAACAAAACTTTACATGAAAGGCATCTAATTTACAACCAAAAATTATTTTAAATTTCTATAATTTTAAACAAACTTTTTATCACCTTTTAATATCCTATTTATATCATTTTTAATTACTTTATGAACTCAGATTATCATGAATTTATATGACACATGAAATGTAGAAAATGAACAATGAAACCTGTATCTCAGACAGTTACACAACAAATGTAGGAATGCAGGAAAAATGCTTTGGCTACGTTTAGTAGGAGACATGACTGTCAGGCTTTCCACAACAAAATTTGTCATCCATCCGGAAATGGCAGTTTTAAGCAGTGTTTATTTTGTCTAACACGTACAACTGTTAAAAACAGACCTGTGGCCTGTAGTAAATTAATGCCTGTATTTAACGACAAATAAAGTCCTGAAGCTCAAACCTTCAGTAAATCAAACACATACAAGCATTCAGACATCTGACTATTCTCACATTGTTATATTTGCAGGTGTACAGTGGACTGTGGAAGGAGAGACCCGTTGTGATCAAGTGTGGTATTAAGGATCCAGTCAAGACTGA